GCCATGTAATCCATTCATTTCAACAAAGTAACTGTAATCCAATTACCACTCACTGAAACAGTAACTGTAACTGAATACAGTTACTCATAATTTGTACTCTGATTACGTAACTCCAGTAAATGTAATCTGTTACTCCCCAACACTGATTATGTTATAATACGCACATTAGAGTATTAATATAACATATGCCTAGACAAGTCTATAATCCTATATAAATTTATAATCTCTATAAAGGTCCTATATTACGCAAAACTGACTCTTGTGAGTTTTTATCCATGTTGGAATGTTGTTGCCTCATCAAAAACAAACCTGGATTTGTGTTTTGTTTCATTCACACATGTTTGATTCATCTTTCATTATTAGCCTGTCAACATCTCCAAAGGTCAAAATGCTCTGTTCTACCATGTGATGTCATGTAGTGGTAGTTTTCAAATGAACAGCTACCTTTTACCTTTAGTTCAGTAGAGATCAGCAATTCCAGGGCTGAAATCATCCAAATTATTCGAGTGAAGGTGCATGGAGTTTAAAAAACACAGTGGAACTTTTCCTGTTTTACCGCATAATATCACAAGGTGGACTGTTTTCTGTTTGAAAGAAAAACTCAGTCTAAATATGCAGTCTTTGTGAGTTAAAAATATGTAACTGAAACAAAACAGAACACCAGGTATGTGTGTGATGAGGAACAGAGGTACACACTAGAGGGCATTATAAAAATGCACGTGCGTAGTGTTATTGGGATTGGATAATCTCAATTGAAACTAAAGACTGGATAGTACATGGGCATTCTTCCCACTCTAAGGTACATGTAATCACTTTCTTCGCAGTTCCTAAAAATACACTGTCTTCAATTGTTAAATTACGGTATAAGACGTTCTTGCTTTATATAGAAAAGGTATCTCCATATCTTCATCCTCATTATTATTCCATGGTACTTTATGCTATTGCTTTGGCCCGTCGTCTTCTATATGTCGGGGCTCTATTATCTGTTTAAATAATGCATGCTGATCGTCCAATCTATCTTGTTCTTAACCGTAATATCATCACATAAGCACTGAATTTGTAACTAACTTCTCATTGGTCAATTCTGAAGAGCTATCTACGGTAGCAATATAGAAATATGTTAACTTGGGGCCTACATTATATTGCAAGTTTCAGTCTAACTCCTAACAATTGGAAGCATAGTAGGGACTGGGAACTGTACTAGCCAGACATAAGCAATCAAGGATAAAGAGACAGAATACACAAAGTTCAGTCTTTAGATTGGTTGCCTAAATAACAATTGCATCCACTACGTATTCCTACTGGGGTTGCTTGAGTCTGAATGCTAATGTAAATTACAACTGCCAATGGAAAACCTGCCTGTGGTTGTTGCTGTAACTCGAGTGCCCTATTAGCTCAGTTCATAGCCTCTTTCCGTTCGTGCGAGGGTCTTCTCCTAATTGAGGCAGCTCTAGAGTGCAAACATTGTTTCGCTAACTGGTACAAGAACAGCCAAAGTTTAACTCCTGGGCCGTTTCTGTGGTAGGAGTTTGCATGTTCTATAACCGACAGGCCCTCAGTCCTCCAGCTCGTCGGGGTGTATTCCTTCGCATGGCGCAGTTTCGGTGGTACCTAAAGTAAAAATCGGTGGAAGCGCGGAGCTGATCGTTCGCTCCCTCCTCAGGTTAACGCTGTGCCATCTAGGGAGGTTCGCACGCTCGCGTTGTAGTGCTGGGGGTCCAAAAATATCTGGTCATGTTGAAGTGCACAGCACACTGACACGAGTTGTACGCTCAATATGGGCAGAAATACCTATGTTCACCACACTATTAGAAGAGCAACTCATTTAGATAATAGAGTATCCCCTCTACCATATCCCATTATTATATAAACTTGTACCTCCTTTTACTCTTTATTGTTGGGTTTTGGCTCTTGTTAGTTGGAAAAGACAAGCGAGTACCACCTGGGAAGGAGGGAGAAATTACTAATCTCTAAAAACATAGAGAATATTGAGATGTATTTTGTGTGGCAGCTGAGATGGAAAGGGTGAGGGAGGATAAAGATAGGAACAGAGGAACTCATTCAGTGGAGAAAGGATCAAACGCAAAGCAGGAAGCCGAGGGCGAAGGGAGTGGAGAACCACGGATGAAGATGAGACGCATATTCAGTTATCAACATGGGACGAACGGAGCAAAGAGCATGTGATGGTAGGGATAACAAGGTGGGTAAAGAATGCGCCATATTTGAATAATATAAGAAACGATGTTTTTTGTGAGTTAAAACCACAGGACTGTGTTCCAACCCACATAAGTATGAATAACATAAAAAACGCCTGCATTAATAATAGACTAAAATCACGGGTCCTATACATATATTACAATGCTACTCGACCAAGACTAGATCAAGATATGGAAAAGGGTCAAATGTCAACAGACACTTTTACCTACAGTGGACAGCATAAAGGTGGAACCATATGCGAATGGCACGTCATAGAGACACTGGAGAATTATACAGGCAAAAAACGACCGCAAAGACACAAACACAACTTTAAGATATTATGATCTTCTCAATGCAGGGAACAGGCATCTTATATCATGCTTTCTTACAGAAAGGCTTCAAAGTAGAGTTGGGCATATTACATGACGCCTTAGGCAAGAGATGGAAGAAACAATACAGTAATCAAAACATTAAAAATAAATGCTTTACTTTTCTTTATATGGGTTGTTTCATTTTATCATCAACTTCAGTGGGAGGTGGCCATTGCTATATCAAGTAGTTAGTAACAAAGCTAATCTAATAAATGAACTATATCCCATGTATATTCATAAGTCCACTATGGTTCTATGCAGCTTTAAAGAAAGAAAACACTCATTAGTATTTTTATAAACTGATGATATGAGCTACTTACTATGAGCTATATGTAGTGAAAGTTAATCACTTTTTTTTCTATTGGATGATGAGTTGACTGTGTCTAAATATATGCTTGTCAAAAAGTCTTTTTACATTTTAATCTCACAATATTTTATGCAGAACCATTATCAGATGTTAGCACGCTGCTCATTTATGCAAAAATCGTTCCAGGCAAATGGAAGATTAGTTATTGGATAGCCTTTAACCTTTCTAGGCTCCTCGGGTTTCCCACAAATATCTTCCGGCTCTATGATCCGAGAAACGGAACCAATTCAAGATGTGGTTTAGGTCTCAAGTTGTATCCGATGTATTTCACTGAAGAAAATCTTTGGGCGGATAGACGGGTAATTGGATACGGAGTTTTTTTGGGGGCAGGAGGTGGAGGAGTCCATGCCTCTATGAGGCCTTTTTCCAGACACTGATGGACGTGGGGACAGGGCAAAATCACGGTTGTGCCTGGCGAATCTCGCTGGCATGCATCTTCGGTCCTCTCTAGAGAGGTCAGTATTCCCTGCTTAGCTGCTTAGTCTGTCCCTTCCCATTCACCAACAGAGGTATACTACGTGTTATTTAGAGGACTCACTATCTGTTCACCTGTCAATACCTTTTCTGTGCCCACATATACTACTGAAATTACCATATCACGCAGGGTGATAGGTCTAACGACTCTGGGTATGCCTGCTCGCTCGTCTGGTGTAATGACGACTGGCTTCTCTGCTAACACGAGAACCTCGGGATTTAAGTATGTTGTCTCGATAAGAAACTGCGAGGTGACTCAGGGATCGTCACTTACCATCTAAGTTATAGTAAGTGTTATGAAATGTTATAGTGAATAATGTATTGATATAATTTCTAATCTTTTTATGTAATTATATTTGTTAATTTGATTAGATCTTTTTTCCAATTTGGCTGGATATGTTACAGACTACATTGCGGAGCCAGACAGACTAAAGACTATTTAAATATTGATATATTTATGTATCCAAATAATATAAGACGCCTGGTTCAGTTGTATTAATATCCTCCTACACTCTACGTCTTGGCAGTGGCAGAGGTGGGAGAGTTTGAGGCATCAAAGGAAAAGCTGCTGGATTACGCTCGACGCTGTTACAAAACAATGGATGAAGACACTCACTCCAAAGTCCAGACTATGAAGAAGACTCACAAGCTGCTGCCCATCTCCTACAGGTTCAGACACTGATCGCTGCAGAGAGGAGATACATAGTCCTAAATGTATTATGTTTACTGAATGTTGCTTTATTCATGTATTTTCTTTATGCCAATGGTTGATATAATAAGCACAGTTTAAAGAATATCTGATTTTGACTGAAATGTATATGGTCAAGATAAGTAATAGTTATTTATTTACTTACATCTTTATGTATTTAAGCACAAACTTGGGGGGAAAAAGAGAAAATATATTTTGTAAATTAATGTTATATAACCATAACATTAATTTACAAAATATATTTCCTCTTTCTCCCCAGGTTTGTGCTTCAAGTTATGTTTTGTTAACTTATTAACACGAGATACTTTTGATTTGTTTTGAAAATTAAAAACTGCAGCAAAAGAAATGATTTGCAAATACTTGGGTTGTATTGAATGGACCTCAGCGCCCCCCAGAGGAACTAAAATTGATTGCGCCATCAAAAATCCTTCCATCATTTATAGAACTTAATAAGTGCAATTTTCTTGCATTTTACTATTTTTTTGGCAATGGATTTGTTTCATATGAATGTAGGCTAAATTTGACAATCACTTAGCATCAATGCACTTACATCTTCAATGCTATTTTAAGTAAGACAAGACAAATTGTAGCAACAGCCGCAAGTAATAACAGGTCAGACAGCAACAGTATAATGCAGTAATGACAATAATTCAATTTGGAGATAATTTAACAATTGACAATAAACGTTGACAATTGAACGGTACTTCATTTCCCAGATCAACTTGCTGCACGCCCTTTAACCCTCCCTCTGAACCAATCAGAATTAAGAGTTTAGCGGGAAGTAGTAAAACTCGTAAGTTTTAACAGACAGTAGGGCTTGACCAATAGAAAAGCGGGAGAGGCCCTCTCTGTCCAATCAGAAGAGAGGAGGGCGGGGCTCCTGTCCAACGGGGCATCGGAGGAGGAGGTGTTCCTGGTAGCCATCTTGGATGGCGGACTGATTGTTTAGCGAGAAGAATTGACATTTTATTAAATCTAAGCTTTTATATTCACTCTCTGAAGATTTATTGCAGCCAGACCAGTAAAGAAACTGATCGGGGAAATTCAGGTAAACTACTAGTGGACATAAATGTTCCTTTATGTTTGCATGCACTGCTCTCCCTCTGCCTCTCTCTCTTTTCCAAATTGTCTCTTCCACATCAAACAGCGCAGCCGGTGGGATCTGCAGCGCCTCTCCAAACTTCACTGCTCTCTGACTCACTTAAAGCCTTCAAACTCGACATTTACAAATATTATTAGAGAAGTTAGTTTGAAAGCAAGCGCGCAGAATGCTGGTGACCACGGACTGCTGCCACGAAAGATGCCCGCATTGTTTATAAACATCCCGGGCTGTCCAGTCCGTGACACTCGGTCCTGTGGGGTCTCCCGGTGCAAGGCTCTGACCCGCTTTTACAAAAGAGACAAGAAAGTTGAAATAAATCCAGATTGATGCTCTTGTTTACATATCCCCTTACTATTGCACTGTTGCACTTGTCTCTGGGTTGTAATATTATCTAATAAAAACGGGATAGTTCTTGCATCATCTTACATGCTGATGCAGTCTAATTATCAGATTGTGTGGACAGTTTTAAATATAGAACAAGCATACGTAAGTCTGTGTGGTGAAGATGTTGCAAAGATCTCTGCAAATAAATAGATTTAAATAGATTTTTTGCATGCCCTGTAGTGAATCTTGTCCATGAGATGAAGAGGCCTTCCTTAAAATAGTGCAGGATACTCTGATGTCACTCTGCTATACAAATGATTTCCAGTTTGAACATGCATTTTACAGAACATTGCACATGCAAATATTACACCTAAACAATTTCATAATATGTACGTAAGGTCAAGGTATTAGGTGGTATTAAAGTGCTACTTAATACCAAGGTGCTGCCCAGTTAGTTTTGAAAGATAAACATTTGGCCATAAAAATGTAATTATGTCAACAGGACAACAGATTAGAGTGACAGAATTTACAGAATTGTGTTTTCTTTTTGCTATGGTACCTAAAGACTGAGGGATTATACAGAGATTTAATGTGAATGTGTTTTAAAATTTGCATTATGAACTCAGTCAGCAATACATCTAAAAGTGAAATCTTACTGCATTTGAATTAGTCAAAATTGAAATACTGTGTGCACCTCCATTTGCATGGCCATATGTACATCTGTTGATTGTGCTCTGATGTCGTGTGGATTTGTGTGCAGGTTGTTTTCCGGCCCGACCTGCTCCTGTTTGTGAGGGACAGCCTCATGTTACAGCTGCAGGCGCCTCCGCTGGCTGTGTCATAAACTCCTATTGTTATTTATGTGGAAGGCTCTGTCATAGTTTCTGGATATTATAATGATATCTATGAGTTAGTATTTGCTTGAGTTACAGCACTTTGGATCAATTAGGTCAAGTTCAAGTGTGGCTGTGTGCAATGCATTCTAAAGAATTCATAACACATGCCTTTTTCAAGCTGAAGGTTAAAAACTAAATGCATTTTTTTTTTCTCTACAAGACACATAATTTCTGATCCATAACTTGGCCTGTATGCTTGTCCCCAAGGAGATGCTTTTAATGTCATACTGAGGAATAGTCCAGGTAAAGCTATAACATCTCTATAGCTAAAAGTAGGTGGCTACTAGAAAAGTTACACAGTGAGCCTTTAAGTTCAGTGAACATGCCAGGTGTAAAGTTCAAACTAATTTTGCAGTGTTCTGGATTATGTTTAGGTAGTACAGTATTTTAAAGCAAATCTCCTGAAGCTCTATAATTTGTCTACTCTTATGCAACAGTATTTTTCCACACGTGGAAAAAATCTGAAAGATCTGAAGCCATTCAAATGCACAGAAATACTTTCTACTAGAACTTTTATATTTGTATAATTTAGTAAACTGAATGGTCAAAAACGTATAGTGACTTTTTAATAGAATTATTCAAATCACCCTTACATAGGGGACTTTTACTTTTTTCATTTTTCATACTTTCATTGACCACCATTTCTACTGTATTTCTATGCCCAAAGCCTTTTTACTGCACTCTTTTTGATTAATGTAAACAAAAACAAAACAAAAGCAAAAACAAAAAACACTGTAAGGATGCTGACAGTGCATATGGATGTTTTTTTCCTAAGAGGTGACAGGGGATATGTATCACATACAGGCACTGCTTTTGTTTACATGTTGAAACAAGTCTTTTCCCAGCATGCATAACAGCAAGTTCATTAGGAATTAACACAAAGTTTAAACTCTGTGTGTGTGTGGCCTCACTCACAGTAAAAATACATGTTTTTGATCAACAAAGACACCTGTAAATGAGTAAGTTTCATGCCATATTGTCAAACATCACAGTCAAAACAATGTTTCCATAAAGACAAAAGTTACATAGTGTTCTTTAATATATCTACGCACCAATAACAACCACCTCTTTTTTCTTTCTCTTGTGTTTCAGTGAAAGAGGCATGAAGACATCATCCTAGTCGTCAGTCATGGCCGATAAAAGGAAACTCCAAGGTGAGGGCGGCTCTGACTTTATTCAAATGAGCCATCATTTGTTGTGGTTCGATCATGTGTCTCTGGGCGAGGTTCACCACAAATTCAAACATGCTCTGTATCTTATATCAAAGTAGGCGCAGTTGTCTGGTCAAAAATATGCATCTAGATCAATGGTCCTCTTCAAACTTTTCACAACAACCACCTAGGAGAATATCTTGCTTTCAGAATCTAAACCCAGACAATGCAGAGCCTAAATATGGTCTATAATGTTTATGTTATAGGGCTGACCCATTTGGGAAAAATATGAAATTGAGATTTTTCGGACATGCATTACAATTGCGATTAGATCCTGAAGTTCACATTTTAAACACAATAAAGAAACTTGACAAAGACACTAAAATCTGAAGTGACAAACTGTACCAAATGGCAAAATTACAGGGTGGGCAGCTTTAATGCAGAGGATTTTTATAATATGATACAGATTAGAGAGTATTCTAGTATATATGGTGCAGAAGGACAGGGAACATATGGGTACAGAGGATGGACAGTGAATTTATGGGTAGATGGAAACTGAGGTTAGAGCTGCTATGAAACTAAAGACCAAAGAGAGATTTATGGATGCAGTGATAGAGGACGTGCTCAAGGTGGCAGCTGTAGTATTTGCAGTTTTAACTGTAGTAGCAGCAGTAGTACTAGAAGCAGTACTTGCAGCAGCAGTAGTAATAGTAACATTAGCATTAGTAGTTGCAGTAGCAGTAGTAGTAGCAGTAGTAGTAGTAGCAGTCTCACTCTAACTGCCAAAACAGAGATGCTCCAGTAGCCTGTTGTTGTTGTTATGAAAGCTGTCGTCCTGCCAGGTTAAGTCTTGCATAATGCTCCAGATCACATTGTGATTTTCTCTGCTGTTTTTCTGTTTGTAAAATGCTGTTTTGTGCACAATGTCACCAGTGGATTTGCTCTGAAACGGTCCACTGTCATTAGAATCAGCTTTTATGTCCACATCTGTATGTAAGAGTCCACTGTTTGATTTAACTACTGTTTTAAAGGCACGCTATGGAACTTTTGTGGTCTAGGGCTTGTCATAAAGATGTTATTGCTTTGTATGTAATGTTCCACAGTATAGCATTAAATTTAAGTATCTAGTAGTAATATAACAATAACTGAAATATCATGATATCGTATCTTCAAAAGTCTCACCATCACAATATATTGTAGTTTAATTGCTTAAATCCATTGTTATGGCACAGCAATAGCTAAAAAACAGAAGGAACTACATAGACCATGATCCTTTGCACTTTTTCAGTCAAACTACAAAATACTGAAATAATGGTTATTAAGCACTTTTAAATCTTAATTATTTGGATTATGAGGAGACAAAAGTAGCATATTCACAATTTTATTAGCCTACATAAAATATCGCAATAAATATCGTACTGTGAGATGCATATCTTGAAAATATCGTACTGAGAGAGTTGGATATTGTTACATCCATAGTATCTAACATTTATATTCAATTACAGATAGTTTTATTGTAACAGTATGCATTCTTACTAAGACTGTGGTTGCCTTTCTGCAGTTTAGGGATGCACCGATACAGCTTTTTCTATTCTAATACCGAAGTAAGTAAGTAAGAATAGTTATGAAAAAAATATATTTAAGTTCAGTATAATTTTTGGCACATTGGCCTGTAAATCTTATTAATTACACTCATGTATAGACCAGAATGAGATATTGGCTGAACTGATATCTTGGAACTGATGTCTGATCCATCACAATTTTTTGTGTTTTAACTGCTATCACATACCAGTTTTGTATCGGTCCATCCCTAGATCTGACCTGTTAATTTGTAGTTTGGACGTCACCCTTTTGACAATAACATTATCTACAAGGAGACATACTGTGGAACTAGACAAAGCAATAACATCATTCTTCATGGAGACAAATATGTAGGGACCCTCCAGCAGAAAGTTGACATGACAGAGTACTGTGTTCTTGAAAGATGCATACTATTTTGTCATACTAAGAGATGTAGACAGGAGTATTGTCATTGCATAGCTGTGATATCTGTAGTGGACACGTCAGAGCCATCAGCTGCTGACTTGGTAGAATGTGTGTGTTTCTCTGTTTGTCAGCGCTCTGCTCCTTCTGCTCTTTTCACGGTAAAATATTCAGGCCGTGCGAGCCACTAGTGAAGCTGAAGCTGACAGGACAGAGCAGAGGTGATGATGGTGCAGCTAGAACCCTCCACACTATCCACAAACGGAGCACGTAACACAAGCAGGATCTGTGCACGGGACCTAAGACCCCACATATTCACAGTCTCTCACTATGAAGCTCCTTTTGACATGGCATTTGTTACTCCACGCTGGAAAAAAAGGAAAAAGGGTTTGGATAGAATGCAGTTATGGGGATGGGTGATATGGACAAAATTCCACATCTCTGAATGTTGCGCAGAAACGTTCTGTGATATGAAGAAGAAATAATAGTAATAATAATAGAAGAAGATAATAGTACTGAAATGCTGTCCCTAATATGTTTACTATTTGAAATATGCAAAAATGTGCCTGTAAATGTCTTTGGTTGAGGTCCTAGACTGTATAAAGAAGTGGACTAAGAGAGCTTGAGTCCACCCATAGCGTTCGGCTCACAGACCGTTTATATGAGTGGACATAGCTAATGCGCTAACCGCCGCATGCCAAATAGGAACTTCGCCAGGAGGCTCTTCTGGCTCCTTCTGACCCTGGCTCCAGTTACATCCTTACATTAGGATCTCGTCACCCCTCTCTCTGTAACTGCTGCAGTGAGCCTCCTCATTTTAGTCTTAAAATGTTCGTATTAACGCGCTCTACATGATCATGAGCACTGAACGCTATACACTCGCTGAGTCCACTTTTTTTTATACAGTCTATGGTTCGGCTCCAGCCAAATGAAGCTCACTGAGGCTAGCCATTATGGAGCGAATTTGGCGCCCAGTTCCATATTAGGAATTGGAAAATAAAGGAAATTTTATGGTCAGAATAGCGAAATAAAAACACCAGGGTCATGTAGAGTGAACATTTTAAGCTAGCCTTGCTCACTTCCTATTTGGAACGCAGCATCTAGCAGGTTAGTCATGTCCATATTAGAGCTGAGTATCATTAAGAAGTTGTGGTATGGTAGAAGTACGTTTCAATAAAAATAGGTAATGGCTAAATCATGGCAAGTCTTTGTTAAACCACCATTTGTGCAAAGTGAATATGAAACACACCCATTTCAATAATCACAACAGTGAATATGTCAGTTGTGTTGCATAAGTGAATTTACTTCCACTAAACAAGCAACAAAACTCTAGCACTGTAACAAAATAATTTAGTTAAATATGCCAATATATCGATACAGCAGCCCACGATATTAGTAATGTATCATCACATTAAACGATACGATATTTCTGCATGCCCCTAGTCCATATATACACAGTTTATGGTTGAGGTTCAACAAAAGTGCAGGAATGTCACCATTCATTCCCTGATCTGTTACCTCATATTTGCTTGTACGTCACTGCCTCTCGTGCAGTCAGGTCAGCAGATCAGGCTCTCGTCCAGGTCCCGACGACCAGGAGAAAACAGAGGTGATGGTGCAGATCCTTCTGCACATTAGTTTGTCCAACTCACTCCCTCCACTCCTAAAGACTCACTTCTTGGGTGTTGCCAGTGTTTGTTATGTGTTTTATTTGTGTACTCTAGAAATAAAGTTGAGTTGAATCACCTCGGCACGCGTGGGCTGGGCACCGTTAAAAAGTGCCACAGCAGCAGCCTACTCCATGAATGATTGTAAAGTACACAATACACAAATACACACAGACACAGTATGTAATGGAATTTATGAACACTGTTATTCTGTTTTGTGGTTATAAACAATGATAAATACAGTAAGAGGTACCAAAAATACAACATCTACTGGCACTTGGTTATATTGGTACTGGCAATGGTAACAAAAAAAAAAAAGAAAGAAAAAAGGTACCCGGCCATACTTTTCGTAGCCTTTCTCAGAATTGCATTATTATTGTCCTGTCCACAATACATCGCCTAGATTGAGTCTGTGTCCATCTTTTTCTCACAAACAAACAGCTGTCAACAGAAACAAAGCTCGCATCTTTCTCCCAAGCCCGGCTCCACACGAGAGCAGATCAAACACAGTTATGTATTATTACAGAGCAGCACTTTCATCTAAAAATACCATGGCGACGCAGCGGTGTCTTCACATCACGGCTGCGGAAGGTCAGGTCCTGCCCCTGTCGTGCCTGTCGCTCCTGTTGCCCCTGTCAACACTCTCCATTCAATGTTGAGGATTTTATCACTAAGAAAGAAGCGCTTTTGTCAAAATTTGTGTTACTGACCTAATTGTTTTATTAAGATTATAAGGATTTTTAAGGGACATCAGCAGAAAGGAAGGCTTAGACCCCATTTACACTGAAACAAATCTGTGTATCACCCTATCACCGTATCGGAAACGATCTGCATCCACACACATCGTTTCTGTGTCCGCAATCCTTTCTTATCCACACAGCTTTGAGCATATTTGTTTACATTTTACAGAAACGAAACTTAAAACCGCATGCCTAATTTGCATAAACTAAGTGCTCAAAGCAGCTCGCTATTGTGCGCTAATGCGGTTCAGCTTCTGTCGGACTAAAGGACACGACTCAGTGGATTATATGTGTTCTTTCTGTGACAGAGGAGTGTTCTGCTAATGGTGAGTCTGTTCTGTGCTTCTATCTCGTTGGAGACCGTTCATGTTAAACTTTTCAGAGATTATACGTCTGCAGGTCATATGCATAGACCGTATATATGAATATATTCTAGCCTCTTAGCGCTTTGGTGGGGAATTAGCTACTTCGCAGTGGATAGACCTACATCAGTGCATCAGCGTTTTCTGCCATGCACACAGTGCTGGATCAGATCTGCACTCAGATCTTTCAATCAGATTAGTGTGGACCAACCCTGCATCTGGAACGAAAATGATTTGAATACGTACTAGTGTGGACGGGGCCTTAGTGAGTGAGTTAGCTGAAGATGTGGTATTTTTTGGTATTTATTTGTTTAAAAAAAAAAAAAAACAGGTTTAACATACATACTGAATCTGTATAAATAAATAAATAAAGAGTTGTTTTTTGCATGAACTCCCTCTGCAGGTGTAGTCTTGTGAGTTTTGGGTCAGATGCACAGTTACGTAATAGTTTTGAGAGTTTCTGCCATGCCAACTTAGTCGACCAAACGATCGGCTTTAGGCTTAAGACTTTAGTCTTTAGTCGATAAAAGCCCTACAAGAAAGTCCTGAGCCAGTAGCAGCATTCTCTCATCAAATATTATATTGTGGTTTTTGAAACTTTGTCATGGATTGTACCAAAAAGACCCATTTTAAAACTAATAATCCTGTGTAGCTCCAGGCAGAGTAATAACTTTTGAATGGGGGAAAATCTGATGGCTGCAGTGCTCACCTAAAATTTTCACAATATGCTAATTCAGGGTGCACAGTATCTGGATCGAATTGAAATTGTGATTTGAGATCTCGCGAAATTTAATGGTAGGGCGTGCGGTTAAGATAGAATGTCCTCTGCAGAGAACAAAATCTTATACATGTATTTTAGAGCTCTGCAAACGTGTTGGAAATGTAAAGATGCATTTTGATTCTTGTATTAGTTTGTCACTTCATTTTTCAATCTTCTTTATAATGTTAATGTGTCTGGAGTTGTTTACAATGTGCACTCAGGACAAAAATCCTACTTTTTAAAGGTCCTATATTAGGGATGGGCATTCGATGAAATTTTATTAATCGATCATTCGGAGAATTAACGATCAATTTTCGATGAATCATTAATGTTTTATATAATAAGTATCATCATTATTATTACTATTACTAATCTGCTTGCCTGGAAGAATCCAGACTCATATGGAGCTGTATAACAGATACAGAGAAATATCCTTGTGGATTTCCAGGCAGCTAATCTGCATAAATAAACTCAACTTTACAACATATAAACTATAAAGAGCCACATTAGCCTGTTTGAGATTAGAATGTGTTTAATGCAGCTTTACACAAGTAGAAACAAAACTTTAAACTGCATGGCAAATTTTTCTAAACTAAGCAGAGAAAAAAAAAAGCTCTTGTTCGCTGATGCGGTTCAGCTTCTGTCAGACTAAAGAACACGACTCAGTGGAATATATGTGTTCTTTCTGTGACAGAGGAATGTTGAAGATTATTATGATGATGGTGAGTCTGTTCTGTGTGTGTGTCACGTTGGAAATGGTTCATGTTTTCAAAGATCGTACGTGTGCAGGTTTAGCGCAGCTCTTTATGTTGCAGTAACCGGGATACCGCGTTTACATGCACCATGACGAAACCGGGACACAGATGTGCATGTAAACGCACTCATTGAGGGATATATTGATCTTCAAGGAGGTGCCAGAGCAGAAATATGGGACTGAGGCCGCAACTCCAGGGTTTGCGCTGTCAGACGCAGCTTCATATCTGTGCACAGAAATCTACATTCAGTTTGTCAATTAGAAACGAACGTAATCGACGAAATTCTTAATGAGCAAGTCAACTAATCATGGCCATCCCTATCCTATATTACACAAACTGGATTTCTGTCAGCGTTAAGCCATGTTTTAATGCTGTTACCACATCAAAAACATACCTGGAGTTTTAATTTGTTTCATTCACACATCTGACTAATCCTGGTGTATTAGTCTGCCTACATCTCAAAATGCTCTGTTCCACTTTGTGATGTCATGTAGTGGTAGTTTTCAAGTTAACAGCTACATTTTACCTTTAGTGTAGTAAAGATAGGCAATTCCAGGACTGAAATAATCCAAATGATTCTAAAGAAGGTGTATGGAGTTTAAAAACAGAGTGGGGCACTTCCTGTATTACCAGGATTTCAGTCTAAACATGCAGGATTTGTGTGTTAAGTTAATCAATCAACCACAACAAGTTAATTATTGAGATAATGATCAAATTCAGTAATGGAATAATCGTGTGTGGACTGTACACACACTCTGAAACGTGCCATGTGCCAAGAGAACAGGTTTTATGACTCATGCAAAGTTGCAATTACTTAAAAATGACACAGGGAACATTAAGTTTTAGAGTTTTAATGACGCTTTTGCAGTTTGAACAACTTTATTAATTGCAAGAATAATCACTAGACTAATTGATTAACAAAATAAACGTTACAGCCCAAAATTGGAATACTTGGAAAAAAACTATCATTTTATTTTTTTTTTTTAGTTTTTGCCAAAATTGTGCAGCTTTATTCCACACAAATATATAAACCCCAAAGTAAAGTGAATCCTTTTTTACACAACTACAGAACTGTGTCTAAACTATGACTCACAGTGTTACAAATGGTGTTTTTTCTGAGTCTGGCCCAAAACCGCAGCTCTCACATGATGCAACTCTTTGATTTATCATTTCATTATCACACATCCACGGCTGTCAGAGGAGCGCAGTATTTTTAGCTTTTCGGGCTAAAGCGTCGACCATTAAAAAGTCTGAGAAACACAAAAGATTAGCATCAGAAAGAGAGATACAGTGTGCGTTTGCGTCACTGCTGCTGTGTATATCCAGGTCAGAAATGATAAAACGGGACTCACATACATGCTTCCTGTTTACTTTGAGCCCATAAGTCCTCTGTGTCGCACAAATCTGGGACAAGGCTTCAAAACAGTCCACTTTGGTTCAGTTTTTACTTTGTTGCATTTTCTCAGAGACGTTTCTCCTTTTTGATCATTTGGGCGAGAGACGCACAATATTTTGTAAAAGTATCAATGTAGTAAGCAATATCTATTTAGCAAAACAAATGATTTTAACATTGAAATAGTGTCATAGTTTTCTATCTGACAGATTTTTAAAATGTTTTTGAAAATGTAAATAAAAATGTAAATAAAAAACAAGTTTCAGTCAGACTTTTCTATATAAATCCTTGTTTTGGTTTTGGTCTGTCAGGGCCTACATTATGTTTTCTGATTTATGCTGTAATGTTGTAGCCAGGCTGGTGTCACCTAGTGCCTCCACTCAGTTTCATATCTCTCTAGTGACTAGGTCAGGAATCCGAATACACTAGACGGTTCACAAAAACCCCGGAAGTGCGAGTTCGGGCCGTATAGTCTGTGTTGGCAACAATTCCCGAGATTGAGGATTTAAAGCCGGAATAAAGAGAATGTTTGGTGAATCTTGTCAAGGGGAAAGACGTTATTGCCCTTCTTCCTACGAGATTTGGGAAAAGCTTAATATACCAGTTAGCCCCGTTAGTGGCGCATTACATACGTCACAACTAAATAGCAGCAATTGGTTAAATGAAAAAAAAAAAGTACCCGCCTACCATCGAGTGATTAAATTCTAATGCTGCGAGGTCAGACTTTCACGTTGTAGAAACCATCTGATGAATCAGGCTAATAATGTTGTTTTCTCACCAAAAACATACCTGAAGTTGTGTTTTGTTTCATTCACAAATGTTTAACACACAAACCCTGCATATTTAGGCTAAGCTCTTCAGAAAGCTACCTTATGATGTCATGTGGCAAAAAAGGAAGTGCTCCCTGTGGTTTTAAACTCCATACATCTTCTCTAAAATCATTTGGATGATTTGTAGCTCTAGCTGGAATTGCAAATCTCTATTTAACAAAAGGTAAAATGTAGCTGAATGAACTGAGAATTTTGAGTTTTGGAGATGTAGACAGACTAATAATGCAAAATTACTCATGAAACAACAAGCAAAACACATGTGAATGAAACAAAACAGGCATGTGTTTGACTTAACAACATTCTAAAGCTCACGAGTCAATTTTGTGTAATATAGGACCTTTAACCCATGCATAGTTACTTTTACAATATATGCACACTCCCATTTTCTATAATAATATAATATTTTCCTCTTAATACCAATACCAAAAAAAAAGAGCTATTCAGTTTGCAGGTTTTGGGTCATAGCAGCAATAAAAAATGAAATAAAAATAACTTGTTACAAACTTGTATTGTGTATGTACATGGATCTATAGGCATGGATATTATCAAACACCTTTTAAATGTAAACTCTATTACTCTATGATTTTGACATATTTCCCATACAGAAATACGCAGATGCTTTTCTTTTGTGTTTTTTTTCCCTCTCGTCCCAGCCTGCCCCTCCCCTCCCCACGCACTAATGGAGCAGCTGCTTAAAAATGTTGGGCTTTTTGTCAAAATGAGTAAAAGAGTGAACGCCAGCTTCGGTGGTGGTGCTGCTCGTGTAAATAATGCACTTTTCCCGGCTTAAATATTTCATGATAAACAGTTAAAGTGCTCCAACCAAGGAAAGCCATTTTATAAAGTAACTTACCTGAATGTGCACAAAAACAGCTGGTTTTATATTTATTTTCCTGCTAGAGTTGAACCTTAACTGAATTTCTGTTCTTTTTTGCTTCAGGGGAAATAGATCGATGTCTGAAAAAAGTAGCGGAGGGAGTGGAACAGTTTGAAGACATTTGGCAAAAGGTAAGATCTAATATAACTTTATACAAATATATATTTTTCAGAATTAATATAAGATGTTTAATGGTTTTGTTTGATCTCCACAGCTTCACAATGCAGCTAACGCAAACCAGAAGGAAAAATATGAAGCTGATCTCAAGAAAGAGATTAAAAAACTACAGGTGATTCTGGTGGTGGATGTTTATCGAACCAGGCAAATTTTTCTGATTAAAAGGCCCATAATACGCTATTTTCTAATCTATTTTCTAGTGTTCCTCATCACAAACATACCTGGAGTTGTTTTGTTTATTTCACACATGTTTAACACACAAGCCCTGCATATCTAGGTTGAGTTCTGTTACACCTTGTGATGTCATGTGTTAAAATAGTAAATGCTACACTGTGTTTTAAGCTCCATACACCTTCACAAGAATCATTTGGTTGATCTCATCCCTGGAATTGCCAATCTCTTCTGAACTAAAGGTGAATGGTAGCCGTTAAGTTGAAAATGATCACTTCAGGACATCACAAGGCGGAACTGAGCATTTTGGCTTCGAAGAAGTAGAGAAACTAATAATGTAGGGTTATTTAAACCTGAATGAATGAAATAAAACACATCTCTAGATATATTTTTGATGAGGTAACAACATTCTAACATGGCTCATAAGCTCATAAGAATCATTTTTGTAGTAGCAAGTCATTAGTCATTTTGGGCAGTCTCATTATTATAGATGGATAAGGTTAGGGCTGGGAATCATTAAGAAATTGCCGATAAGCAGCATACCAATTATCAATACATATCTCAATACAGTGCACTTTCGAAACAATATGATGTATTCCAAATTGATTTGATATGGTTCAATAAAAAATAAAGGCTAAATCATGGCTGTGATACTAAAAGTCTTTGTTAAATTACTTTTTGTGCAAAGTTCATATGAGACAAACTCATTTTAATCATCGAAACAGTGAATATGTCAAATTTGTTGCATAAATAAGTTTCCTTTCTCTAAACAAGCAACAAAACTGTAGCACTGTAACAAAATAATTTAGTAAAATACACTACAAAATACTCTTGACGATATATCGATACAGCAGCTCGCGATGTCGATACTGTATCATCACATTAAACAATATTTCAATATTTTCACACACCCTAGATAAGGTATTATTAGATTATTATTAAGTTGGGTTATAGATAAGTAATTACTAAAGAAGATGATTTCTATCTTACATTTATCCAATTACAGTTATTTTATTGCTTAAAAAAGTGTAACTATAGGCGAGTGTCCGTTTCCACAGACCTGACCTGTAACTAGATTTGGTTGGCATCACCTCCTTTTCTCCATGGAGTATTTACTGCCATATTTCAAGCAAAATAACATTGCTGTAGAAAAGTTAAATAGGGTACATTTAAACCAAATAAAACTTCTGCTTTTTCGCCAACCGCCATTACCGTAATTATGTTATTGATATCAAAAGGAGAACTATGAAATGGTCTTTTTTGATTCTGAATTTGATAAATGAGCTCAGACCATTGAACTGCCCACTGGTCAATATGTGTTTATGTTTGGGTCTATCATATTTCAGCCAGTCAGCCTCCTGCAGCCTCCAGCGGGGACCAAACCAAGCCAAAAACACTCACATCATCTAAACTGCTTTAACAAGTCCACACTGGCTCCCCTGCCTGATGTATCTGATGTGTCTGTATTTTTCTTTCTCTTTCTTATCATCGTGTTGCTCATGGTCGGGTCCTGCAGCGTCTCCGAGACCAGATCAAAACGTGGGTGGCATCTAACGAGATCAAAGACAAACGGCAGCTAGTGGAGAACCGCAAACTTATAGAGACGGTGAGTAACTGCACAGAAAGGAGCGATAAAGAGCAGGAGGAGGAGAGAGAAAGAAGGAGAGACAGAGAAACAGAGACTGATTCTGGCCCTTGTCCCTCGTTCCACTTATTTAGAAAATGTCCCACTTTTACATTGATGCCACATGAATTATAAAAAAGTGAGATTTCCATAGAAAGCACGATAATATATTTTGTATTTTTGTAAACTATAGAGTAGCAGTTAAAACTCTTTCTTCTTCTTCTCCTTTCATGTTTTTAAAATCACGTAACCTAGTGAGTGAGAGTAAGAAATGGTTTGGGGTAGCTACTATGCAAGAAAGAGTAAGAGCTGTAATGTTTTATCTATAATATGAAGTCATTTGTAGGATTAAATGATCCACCGATACATACAGTACTGGTATCGGATCTGGATATCGCCTCTGATCCTGGTGGATTTGCTGGATTTCCTCAAAGCTTTGAGCAAAGCTTTTCAGTAGTAGTCATTAGTGTGGACTAAATGACAGGGACACATCACAGTTAGGTCCATTTTGTAACAATTCAAATGTGTTTGGATAATATCTGAAGGAGCAATACAAGAAACATTTCATATTGTCAATGTCAATATAAAGCTTTGGTTATTTGTACACTTACTCACAGTGGGAAGAGGAACCAAAACTTTTCCTTGAGTAAGAGTACTTACTGTTCTAGCCTGATTCATCAGCTGGTTTCACTTCATAGAAACCTTCTGACCTCACAGTTTTAGAATTTGTTCGCTCGACCAATCGCTGCTATTTGATCGTGAAGTATGTAATGCGCCGCTAACAGGGCTAACTGGTATATTAAGCTTTTCCCAAATTCATTAGGAAGACAATAATTTGCAATTTCCCCTTGATAAAATTCACCAAACATTCTCTTTATTCCAGCTTTAAATCCTCCATCTCGGGAACTGTTGCCAACACAGAATATATGGCTCTTTGCTGATTGGCTGGTGCCTGAACTTGCACTTCCAGGGTTCTTGCAAACAAACCGTCTAGTGTATTCCAATTCCTGACCTAGTCACTGGAGAGAAATGAAATTGAGCGGAGGTACTAGGTGGCTCCAGTCTGGCTAGTACTGTTCCACTGTAAAATATATTCCGTAAGTAGGAGTAAAGGCATAGTATGGTTCTGAACTGCTAATTCCTTGTAGACTGTAATAGGCTGACTTTACATAGTCCATGACAACAGTCCAGAAGCATTTCCTCCTCTGGCTGTCTGCTTAAACCCCTGAGCTCACAGACACACAGTCGTGGATGTGGTGGATTTACAGCACTTGTCCTCTGCACCTGTCCCTCCCCTGTGTTAGAGACATTCCATTTCTGTGCTGTGTTGAGGGCACTCACTGCCAACTCTGCCCTGTCTGACACTTTTTTACAATGTTTTTGAGAATTTAAATACAAAAATCTGGACTTAGTCATGACTTTCTGTTGCTGGGTTTCAGATCACGTCACAATATTCTATGGGCCTATAATATTTAATACAGAAAGTGGCAGGTAAAATTATTATTATATGAATACAGTGAGTTCTTGGGTCTAGTTGCAAATAGAAATGATCAGGTTCAACATTTGTGCATTTAGCTTTTGTATATTTCTTATGATAATACAGTGTAATCAGTAGCGAAAACTGGCCCTTGCTCTGCTTCTAAGAGAATAACAGTGTGAAAATCACCATTATTGTGTCCTAATTTAGCCTCGTTTTTGTTTTGGTCTTTTCATTTAACGATCAATCAATTTTAAAAAAATCATCCTCGCTGTATTTTGATAATCGTAATCAGTATCTGGGCTACTCACATGAAAAGAACATTTTATTACAAAGACAAAGACAGTGGCATTATTAAATCAAAGTGTCAAAAACAGCAAACAATTTCTCCTTTTCATCAATAATAGTTTATTCACAGAACAAATCTCTTGCTTGAAGCCTTCAGTCGCATATTTCAACCTTTATTTGGTTGATAATGCATTTGAAAAGTCTCAGTGTACTTTGCAGCCGATGTCATCTACATTCCCTGGGGGTGTGATGCTAACAAAAGGCACTGCACTGTCAGAAGCTCTATTAGACTTTGATGTGAGCTTTAATATAACAAAATATAACCAGAAAGAGCTGACTAACTTGAAACTACAGCAGTTGAGATTAGGTTTGATTAAAATTTCTTAATCGATCGTCAGGAGAATTAGACATCGATTATCGATTAATCATTAAAGTTTTTATATTAAAATTATCATCATTATTATTACTATCTGCACTACTAATCTGCATAAATAAATTCAACTTTACAACATATAAACCATAACCACTATAGAACCACATCAGTCCGTTTGAGATTATAATGTGTTTAATGCAGTTTTGCGCAACTCTTACAGAAACTAAACTTAAAACCGCATGGCTAATTTACATAAACTAAGCGAAGAAAAAAACAGCTCTTGTGGCTGATGCGGTCAACTTCTGTCAGACTAAAGGACACGACTCAGTGGAATATAGGTTAGGGTGACCATATTTGCTTTTGTCAAAATCAGGACACCGTACGGGAGGTGGGAGGTGGGGCCTCGTAATCGACATTGAGCGACTCTCACCTGGCGAAGCTTTTTAATGTTTTTGGTGTCCTGGTGAGCTTTGAGGTCCCTGGCACTGCCACTGGACACCGAACCATATGTGCCTGCTTTGTACACTGTCCACATGGCCTCCCACTTGTCCCGACTGGGATGGAAAGCGCGGAATTTCTTGTGCAAGTCATCTTTAAATGTGCGTTTGCGCTTCGGCATGTTACAGACTGACCAACTTTGTGTCTGCTCGCTCCTTCTGAGTGCAGAGAGCTACGAGAGACGCTCAGTTTAATGGCCCAAGGAAAGATCATGAAAACCCGGACATTTCCATCACTTTATAAAAAAATAAAAATAAAAACCCGGACGGCCAGGACAGGATGTGGAAAACGGACATGTCCGGGGGAAAATGGACGTTTGGTCACGCTACACACAGCAACCTAGATTTGGTTTGTCGATTAAAAATTAACGTAATCGATGAAATTCTTAATGATGAATTATCGATTAATTGACTAATCATGCCCATCCCTAGTTGAGATGATTTGTTTCAATCAAATAATCAAACTCTGAAACACTTATTCATCAGTCCCGAAAATGTGTTGTTTAAATCCATTTCTTTTTTTTTTTTGAGTTTTCACACCATCTAAAAACTTTCTTAATAGCGTTTGCTAATGTGTACATTGTGTCTCCATGGTAACTGCTGAACATTCCACCACAGAGATGCATGTAAAACACCCCCATTCTGATGTCACTGTAAGGTATCAATAGAAATAATAGTTTGACCAGTCAACTAATGTGAAAATGAATCACTGACTAAGAGCCCTAACGCTTTCTGATGATCTTTTCTGTAACAATATGTATCGTACATCTTAATGTATTGTCGACCTAGTCCTAAGCACCCATCCAAAGCACCCATAAACACCCATCCCGCTGCGGCTCTCTGGCCTTTGATGAGTCCCATTGAGCTGCCGTGAATACCCAGCCACCTGCCCCACAATGCACCAGCTCTGATCCTCCCTCCGCTCCGCTCCTCCTGATCCAAACGTTTCCTGTGGTTTTGGGACGGACTGCCCTGAAATTACATGAAGCCTTTGAGGAAGTGGACTCTTGAGGGCAGCTTGGAGATTCAGAGAGAGAGAGAGAGGGGGGTAGAGAGGGAGAGATGTTCAGCTCTACTTCAAATCAGAAAAGTATTTAGTTGCATTTTTTCAGGCAAATGTTGCACTTTGATTTTTGATGTACGTAACTTTTATCAAAACAAAGGTTCTCTTAATAGTGCACATTTTAAACCTGTCCAAAAGCACTGAGCAACAGCTAAACTTATCTGAGAATCTTATGTAGTGCTGATTTAATAGCAATTTTTTCAGACTAAATATTGCAGTTAGATCAGTAGTGCTCAAACTTTTCACACTACGTACTGGTACTTCCAAACAGAGCTCATTTTTAACAAATCCAGTATACTGACTTGAAGACTCAACAATTTAGGAACAAATGAAGATTCCATTGCATTGGTGATATATTTTTAAGTAGATTCATTCCTAATTAGACTTACCAGTGTTAATATTCGAGAGAAAGTATTAAAAACTGCTAAAAACTGATTGAATACAATAAACTGTAGAGATCCAAACTTACAGGGTTAGTGGGTTTTGTACAGAATAAACCATCATAGAGACAAGATATTTTGTTCTCTGCAAAATACCTTAATTAGTAATTAATAAAGCACTTTCCATATAGTTTTTCAGTTGTTTTCAGTCAGCTTTAGCTTGAAACGTTGATCAGAGGAGCACATGGAGCACTGGGGTCTGGCCGGGCTCTGAATAGATTAAATGTGTGAAAACTGTAAAGTGACACACAATATGGCCGCTGTTCTGAGCTGGCACAGAGACATGGCCGATTGTCTGTGCCATCTGTGATCACACTCTGTCCATCCTCTCATTCTCTCAAATCTGACACAACATGTACAAACCAAGAGCTGTTTACATGCACCACAGGAGGACCAAAAGTATATTGTTATTTTAGCCAAATGTTGCAAAGTACACTTGATGGCATACTGTATTCCACTGTTCAAAGACATTCATACATTTGGAGAACTTGTTAAAGTTGGAAATAGTTGAATGACTCACTAAATTGGGCAACCAAGGAAAAGACTTGAAAACTAGGATTGTAGGGGTGGGTCGATATGGATTTTTTTTTAGCAGATATGTTATTCGTTATTTGGCCTACTGCGATAGTAGATAACCATTATCTGCAGATACCAGAATTTTCACTTTCAAAATCAATATCAAGGATCACAAATGTATCTCAAGTTGAAGTAAAGACCACAAAAACAAAAACACATCTTTTGAGTTATTTACATTAACTCTTGACTTTGGCTTGACTTGACTATTTAGGTGAAATCTAGAGAGAGCCATTTACCTAGGAGGACTTTTAGCGTGACCTTAACTTTGCACTACTTAGTAATTGCTAGTCCTGCTGTTTATTGTTTTATGCCAAACTCTTTCCTAAAAAGTTGAAAGCTTGTATTTATAATGACCCAGAGTCCCAGACTGGTTTTCTATTGAGGCTGCCCAGCGTCTAATAATACTTTTGGTGTTGTTTGATGTCTGCAGCAAATGGAGCGGTTCAAGATCGTAGAGAGAGAAACTAAGACCAAAGCGTACTCTAAAGAGGGGCTCGGCCTGGCCCAGAAAGTGGACCCGGCGCAGAGGGAGAAGGAGGAAGTCGGCACGTGGCTAACGGTCAGTACACTCTCATTTGTGTTTTTGGGCAAGACATTATATCCACTTTGGCTTCTGTGTCTGCCTAAAATAGTATGTGCATTGTGTGCTTTGAATTACTTTGTGAATGAATTGTGCTATACAGAATGCCTTGCCTTGCATATATTATGAATTTAAAGGGCCCATATCATATTTTCTAATCTATGCTGTAATGTTGTTTCCTCATTACAAAATACCTGGAGTTGTGTTTTGTTTCATTCACACAAACCCTGCATGTTTAGGCTGAGTTCTCATCTCAGACAGAAAACATTCTATTCAATGTCATATGGTAATACAGGAAGTGCTCCATTGTGCTTTTACACTCATTTGAATGATTTAAGCCCTGAAATTGCCCATCTCTAACTAAACAAGCACAATCAGAGAGAGCAACCTGGTCCCCCGTGAGACATTGGTGGGGGCAGTTCTTCACCATGGAAGCCAGATTATGAGGAGCCCAGTCCATATTACATGATCATTATATCCACAATGCAATGTGTGTATCTGTAAAGTGCCCATGAACATTTGTGTGATATTGGTCACACATGAGAATGTCTGTGTTTACTTTTTCTGAGATTTTGACACCACTCTCGTTGCTCTAGCTCGATCCTTCGCGGAGTTATGACCAAAAACACATATTTGACCTTGGTTACCTTGACCAGTTTCAACCTGCAACATCCAGTGTACCCCGGTTATGTGTGTGCCAACTTGTGTGATGATTGGGTGAATATTTTATACCGCAGATTGTTCAGAAATTGCCGAAATTGCCTATCCTTTATAATTTTTTCGGCATTGGGCATGGGGGCTTGACCCACATACCAAATTTGGTGACAATCGGTCCATGAATGGCGGAATTATCGCAGGTGGACAGACACACAGACACAGACACACACACACAGGGTGAATACAAAACCTGGTCAACCCTTCGGGGACCAGGTAACTAAAAGTTAAAGGGAACTGTCAATTTGAAAACTACCACTACATGACATCACAAGGTGGAACGGAGCATTTTGAGCTTTGGAGACAACGTAATAATGCAGGTTTACACAACTCGACACACACATTACAACATGACTTTAAGGTCACAAGAGTCAGTTCTGCATAATGTACTGTAAAGTATAATCTGTGGGCTTTACATTGCATTTTTAACTGTTCAACTAAAGTCCACTCAGGCACATTGCTACTAAGAATCATGGGAAACCAACTACCTGACACTTGACTCTCTGCCATGGTGCATTTCTAAGGGTGACAATAAATCAAACAGTTGGCAGAGATTGGAGAACTATGTAAACAACCACATGACACTGCCCGAGACAGTGTTTTCTCTGTCATGTTGCAATATCACATCAACAGGAAGGACTAAGGGTAAAAGTTCAAACTAAAACATGCTCCTGAGTCATGGTTTAAAATCAGATACAGGCCCTCAAAACCTACCATCTGTAAATATATTTTCTCATTCTCTATTCTCGCTTCCTTCTCTTTGATTCCTCTCCTCGATCCTCCATTTTTCAGCCGTCAATCAAATGTGTCATATTAAGTGATGTCCCAAAGAAAAACACGTCAGGAAGGAGTAAACATGAGGGAGGCTTCAAGATACAGACATCAGATAAAATAATCAAACTTTATTGTCTCAGTGAGGAGTTTATATCCTCTCTTCTCCCTGTGTCTTCTGTGGTTGGGACTTCCCCACCGACTTCCTGCAGATTCGAGAAAAGAGAAATGAGACGTGGCCCTTGTCAGACCAAAGCTGGTGCACTGTCAGACAGCAGTAACGTAGATAGCATCTAGTGGTGATTTGTGACAATAAATAAAACAAACGGGTACAAATTGTGACTTACTGTTGAACTTTAAAAGGCTGAAATGTTATATTTTGAAGTTGATGTTATATTTTTTTGTATTTTTTTTGCTGTAGAATACGATAGACACGCTAAACATGCAGGTGGACCAGTTTGAGAGCGAAGTGGAGTCTTTATCGGTCCAAACCAGGAAAAAGAAAGGCGACAAAGAGGTGAGTGCCCACAATGCACCTGTCCTGCCTCCGTCTGCTCCTCTGTGGTCCTCAACACTATCTCATCTCTGCTATCTGCTGCTCTGCTCTCCAACAGAAAGGTTAGAGGATACAGCTTTAGAATTCATCTCATGTCAAGTAATGATAACCTCACTGACCTCGTCCTATCAGAAAATCTATTATGTGCCCAGGTTGAGATGGTTTGACATGGACAGAGGAAGGACAGTGAATGTGGGACAGAGGAGGGAGAGTGAACATGTGGTCATTTTTGTTTCATTTGATTTTTTTACTTACTTTTTGTTAAATTAAATTACATGTTTCTTAAATCAAGTTAGAATAAAATTATTAGAACTCTGTCTTCTGGAAGAGCAACCCAAGACATGCGTTTTCTCTTCTCTTCTCTCTGTATTATTCATGTGGCCTTCATAATCGGATCAGACTTTACCATGATACGATGATTAAGTTATAACATGGCTCAGGCCTGTGTGCGTGCATGTGTTTCCTGCATTAGCACGTGTGGTCAGAGTCATGCCACCACACACACTCGGGCATTATTGTGTTAATATTGACGCAAATGAAACGCATTACATGGTCACATCTCACTAATGCAGCTGCTGGTACACATGTCCACAGCACAGGGGTTTTATAATGTCATATTGACAACATGATAACAACACAGAACAATACGAGCCAATTTGTGCCTAAAATTGTTCTCCATGTGACGTATGTAGCCTATAGGATGTTTGTGTAGTTATCTTGAAACGGTTACATTTCTTGATTTACTTGGGAAAACCAAAGATAAAGGTGCAGTATGTACGGTAACTTCTAAAGTGGAAGGTCCGTTACTTGCTTGTCTTCATGGAGATGGCCTAGAATGTTCCAACTAGGGCATTAAATATATCTGCCTTGCATTTGTAAATTACAGGTGTTTTATTAGCCAGGCTGGCACCATCTAGTGCCTCCGCTCAATTTCATTTTCTCTCCAGCGACTAGGTCAGGAATGAAAATACAATAGATGGTTTGCAAACACCCTGGAAGTGCAAGTTCGGGCACCAGACTATCAGCGAAGAGCCATATATTGAGTGGTGTCAACGATTCCCGAGATCGAGGATTTAAAGCCGGGATAGAGAGAATGTTTGGTGAATTTTATCAAGGGGAAAGACGTTATTGCCCTTCTTCCTACTGGATTTGGGAAAAGCTTAATATACCAGTTAGCCCCATTAGCAGCGTATAACATACATCACGACCAAATAGCAGCGATTGGTTAAATAAAAAAAAAGTACCCGCCTACCGTCAAGCGAACGAATTCCAATGCTGCAAGGTCATGTTATTGAAGTGAAACAAAGTAAAACCGGCTGATGAATCAGGCTAGTGTTTTATAGCTCAAAACCTTAACAAACACAAATTCTTACCATGTGCAGACTTGTTTTTCCATAGATCTAATCGTTAACCCATCTCCAGTGTGATTAACCAGGTTATGAAAAAGTTACGTTGTGCACTATGTAACTTTTCTGGTTGGGGGCCTTGTCTCCTCTGAATCTGTTTTGCAATTATTCAGTTATGGATGTTTTTATAGCTCACAAATATGTATAAATTATGAATTGGCTATTGTGAGTGGGGTCATCTCTCCACAGATCTGGCCTGTAACTTGGCCTCATGGTGTCAGTTGCTAGTCACCATGAAAATAGATGAGTTTAATGCCATACTGTGGATAGCCATAACATCTCCATGGAGAGAAGCAGATGATGAACCCTCCTTCAAAAAAGTTACCGAGTGCATCTTTAATAAAACAAATAAAGAGAATGTAATGGTTTAACATTGCATTTTATATAGACCTTAGTGTTGTGATGACTCTAAAATTTGAAACTTGATTTCTGCTAAGGAATCGTTTTGGTACCACTTGAATACTAGGATAAAAAACATTCTCTTTAGACAAGAGAAAATGATTAACGAAAACATTAAATAATAGTTAAATCATGACTTTCTATTATATTTCCATGTGGTATCTGTGTAATCCTTCAGTCGTCCAGGGAAAGGTTCCATAGTGGTCCATGGGTGTATAGTAGTCTATGTGATCACATACTTGTTCTGATACAGCTCAAGACCATTCTAAAGCTATTCATGAAAAGTCAATATCTAATTTTGATACTAAAGCTAATATGTTATTTCCAGTACTTTTGACAACCCTAATAGGCCTTGCGTCACCTATAGACCTGATTAAGCCTGGCTTTAATCCTGGTGGAACTTGTTCAAACACATATTTCATGAGTTGGTACTTGGCATGACAAGTTTAAGCCACTGGTATTAAACATAAACAAAAGCATGTATTTGTGCTGTTTAAAGTGCTATAGGAAATGTATGAAGGTTTATTAAATATTGAAGTCAGGAGTGGCTGTGACTGTGCATTAGTCCATTAGCGGTACACCTGCTCCTATGCTGCTGTACCTCACCTGTTTAAACTTTAACACCTGTGTTTTTGAGCTGTCGGAAGCCTCCTCACGATGAATAATTTCCTCTTTAATTATTGATGTCCAGTGTGTTATGTGTCCCTGTGCCCCCAGAGTGTTAGAAATTACAATTACATAATATTAGTACTACATAAGTAATGTTATTATAGAGGGAACACTGCTCTCTGGACATTGAGCATGAAATATGAATACTTAAAGGAGACATAGTGATGCTATGTAGTTATAATCTGTGACACCCATGGATTATGTTATAATTTGGACATTTTGAATCACAGTATTCATCTGAAATAACTTTGTAAAAGAAGCATTACTTAACTAATGAAACAAATCCACTGACTGCATTGCAAAACTGTGGTGCCCAATGAGAGCTGACCTTGCTGTAAATGTTATTATAACAAAGAGCTGTGCAGTTGTCAGTACCTCCTATGGATAACTGCAGAATTCTTCATGTATGACTTTGAATGGAGAAAGATGTAAAGAGCAGTGGGTGTATACTGATGGTGGTCAAAATGGGGGTAGATCAGAGCAATGACGTCTTGAATACAGGAGAATAAGGATTACTCAAAAATGCTTGAATCGCTTTAAAAACAGCTTTGAGGGTAAATGAGAAGGGAAACAACCATAACAGTTAAATGCTCTGAAAAGTTGATTTTGCATAATAGGTCTGCTTTAAGTCTAACTGTCTGTTAAGTTTATCTATAATGCTTTTTTGAGAGATCTGACTGACTGAAGACTGAAATTAACTGTTGAAACATTACAAAAATCACTTGCCTTTGAAAGAATGCAATAAACACTTTTCATTTTGTCATGTTTGTTCTTTATTTTCACTGAATGTTGAATGGTATTAGATGGTATAGATGAGTAATGACCTTTCCTTTTTGCAGAAACAGGACAGAATCGAGGAGCTGAAGAAGTTCATCGAGAAGCACCGGTATCACATCCGAATGTTGGAGACGATTCTGAGGATGTTGGATAATGACTCGGTGCAGGTGGACGCCATCAGGAAAATCAAGGTACTTCAGATGTCATTGGTTAAAGGGAACATACTGTGGGCTTTAGTTTATGCTACAACTGTGTTCCGTTATCACGAGTCTACCATCTTACAGGTTCTTGGTGTATTTTTTATTCTGAATCCTACATTTGAGGCTTGAGTACTCAGAAAATTTGAGCTTTCATAATAGATTGTATGAAGAAGAGGACTAAGGGAGTGTGGTGTCATCCCTAGTGTTCATCTGCAACCAAAGGAATCTTTGGTTTTCACCTATCTCCCATTCCCACACACATCTCTACTTAAAACTTTTAAAACATTCAAACTCACTTTAAAGGTACACTGCAACTTTGACCTACGTGTCTCCATGGAGATTGCGTTGCCTGGAATGTCCCATGGTATGACATTAAATATATACATCTAGTATTTATTTATTCTTTACAGGTGTTTCTATTGCTCAAAAATACAATCATTTCCTCTGTGAATAGGGGCGACTCTCCACAGATCTGCATTGTAACGGAGCCTAGTGCTGTAATCTGCTTGTCTCCCTTATGACAGACAAATTTAATCTAGATGAAACAGTAGCATTAACACGGAGACAAGCAGGTGTCGGACCCTCCATTAAAAATACTACACAGTGCACCTTTATGGCTAAATGTAGTTTTTTATGTTGTGTTCTTTAAAGCTATTGTTCATATTGACTCTTTCTCAGAATAGATTCATGTATCTCAGTAGATCAGGTTGTGCAGGTTTTGTATTTGTTCCTGTTCTAAGCTCCTCTCTCTCTCTTTTTGTAAGGATGATGTGGAGTATTACATCGACTCTTCGCAGGAGCCCGACTTTGAAGAGAATGAGTTTCTTTATGACGACATCGATCTGGAAGACATTCGTAAGTGCAATATGAGTGAAATAATCAACACTGCTTTACAATTACAATTACATTTTCGTGGGCGATAAAGTTAAAGAGTTAAAGAGCAATGTGTGTGTGTGTGTGTGTGTGTGTGTTTTTTTTTTTTTTAACACAACTTATTTTCCTGATTTCAAATTTCAGAATAATTTCAGAATAAAAACTATAATCATCACTAAAAAATATAATTATTATTTGAACATGCATACTTGAAATGTGGGACAGCTTTCATCTGTTGGATTGTCTGTTGCAGCTCCGTCGTTGATGGCTACGTCTCCTCCAGGACACTCGCACTTAGAGGACGAGATCTTCCAGCACTCGAGCAGCACCCCCACCTCCACCACCTCCTCCTCCCCCATCCCTCCTTCACCTGCTACATGCACTACAGTAAGTACACGCTAGACTCATGCACTACAGTAAGTACACGCTAGACTCATGCACTACAGTAAGTACAGTAAGTACACGCTAGACTCATGCACTACAGTAAGTACACGCTAGACTCATGCACTACAGTAAGTACACGCTAGACTCATGCACTACAGTAAGTACACGCTAGACTCATGCACTACAGTAACTACAGTACGTACACGTTAGACTCATGCACTACAGTAACTACAGTAAGTACACGCTAGACTCATGCACTACAGTAAGTAGAGTAAGTACACGCTAGACTCATGCACTACAGTAAGTACACGATAGACTCAAGCACTACAGTAAGTACAATAAGTACACGTTAGACTCAAGCACTACAGTAAGTACACGCTAGACTCTTGCACTACAGTAAGTACACGCTCGACTCATGCACTACAGTAAGTAGAGTAAGTACACGCTAGACTCATGCACTACAGTAAGTAGAGTAAGTACACGCTAGACTCATGCACTACAGTAAGTACACGATAGACTCAAGCACTACAGTAAGTACAATAAGTACACGTTAGACTCAAGCACTACAGTACGTACACGCTACACTCTTGCACTACAGTAAGTACAGTCTAGCCTAGGCATCAACTTTAAATATCTGCTGATACCCGATATCAACCAATACCAGTGCAGAGACTGATAACAGTATTTATTTTCTGTAAACTAAAATAAAATGAGACATAACTGCTCACTGCTGGTTTTATTACATCAATTCATATCTCCAACAAGGATATTGACTGAAAGGATATTTGAAAGCCGATATCCGATCCAGTGCATTTTTCAGTAAATGTGGCGATATCTGATACCAGTATCAGATCATTGCATCCCTCATGTAGAATTTATTCTTCTCCTCTTAGAGTTTAAACAGAGGCTATCCTTAAAATCCTTACTGTGTTGTTTTCAAAGTTACAAAAGTACTTGAAAATACTTTTCATTGTCAGTGATAGGGTGTGCTGTAGGTTGAGTTAACTTGACAGCTCAACATTATTAATGTCTGTGTAATTACTAATTATCTATCTCAAACAAAAACTGGCAAAAGTTCAACATCTTCTTTATGGGCACCAATAAACAATGGCTTCACACGTTGGTGCCATTACACAACAAATAATGACAGACAAAAACATAAAATAAATGTATAGAGTCCAAACTCAGCTCCAAACCACATGCTTGTGACAGAGCATTGGCTGTAGTCCTGTCCATTATTAAGACGAAACACCACTGACCATTAGACATGCTTGGATCTATACCTCTATTTAGACTTGATGAATGGCACAGCCCTACATTATACACTTCAAAGGTCTTCCAAACAGCCGTGTCTTTTGCCCCCTCTGTATCATGTCTCATAATCTTGACAGTGTAATATTAGTAGTTGAGTGAACCGGAGCTCTGTGTGGAGCCAGGTCAAACCGTTCTTTAACTCTGTGTGGGATAATTGCACATATTGTCACGGCCTATTGCCTTTATGTCACCTGCTCTTGAGTGCCCGCCCACACGCACACAGACTGAAGAGGTGTTATAGCTGCGATGACAAAGAGGAGGAGGTGGGATGGGGTTCAAGTTAAACTCTGCTTTAAAACTAGTTTAAGTCTTCAGGCATTCATTACATTGTACCATAAGTTAGTTAGATAATAAAGGACTCTGGACAACCAATATTTAAAGGGGCACACTTTAATGTTTCTGTTGGAAAGTCTGTTACCTGCTTGTCTCCACAGCAATCATATTGCTTTGTCTAAATTATTCCATATGTTTGGCATCAAACTTGTCTAGCTATTTAATTACAGATGTTTTTATTGCTAGGTTTATTTACATGGAGTTAGATAAGTTCATGCAATATTGTGGAACATTCAGCACAAAGCTAGAACATCTTCATGGGGACAGCAGCACCTAAAACATATAGTACTATATAAATATAGTGCCCCTTTAAAAAAAAAATCCAAGGCCATGTCCACAAATTGAAGTACATTTTTAAAATCCCCTGATGTAACTGATCTCTAATGCTTTTATACATTTTGCTTACCTGTTTCTTTCTGCAGCATTTTGTTATCAAAATAAAAGACAATTTCAAGATTGTCTTGGTTAAAAGGAATAGCAATCATTTAAAAGTAAATTCTGTTGAAACTATGTTATATTTTCTCAGTCTAGTTTTTGCTCATATTCACAGAATTGTGTGAGTTCAGAAAGTGAAACAATAATTTAGTTGCAAGTTTATGTATTATTTATGATTACACATTCCATGTAATAAACAATTTGGCTGCATATTTGTCTGGAAGCTGGAAACTAAACAGACCTTGATGCAATTTGTAGAAAGGAATTGATATTAGCTGAGGTTAGACACTGATAACAAAGCAGCCAAAAATATATCATCACTATTATTATTTATTAGCGATAGGACAAGGTCTCATTCCACAAGACTGTACATGAGAAAAATTATCTTGTGAGATTTTTGTCCCATGTATTTATATGTTGATGTTCAGTTACATCTCTTATACTTCCAAAAGCAGTAGAATAAAGGCAAAAATATTAAATAAAATAATAATTCAAAATTCAAAATTATGAGGCCAAATCTGGAAACTGATTGATTTATTATAAATCATGTTAAAATCTCATCTTGTCTCCTTCTTGTGAACCAGATTTCATGTTGAGGAGATTGTGTGTGGTCCTGCCCTTAGTATTTATGAATTATGGATTTAAAAAAGAATGTATTAATCCATGTTGTTTATTTGTCTCTAGGAAAACTCTGAAGATGACAAAAAGAGAGGCCGATCAACAGATAGTGAAGTTAGTCAGGTGAGTTTGGTGATTTTTGCTGCTACTCAACTGTCAGTTATGGAGAATTTACCATAATCCTGTGACAGAGCAAGACCCAAATGCAGAATCAACTATGAGAACAAAAACACTTTTTTTAAAATATAATTTAAGATTAAATATGGCTATAAAACTTTTTGCTGACTACCACTTGACTTGTTATCCACTTTTGAATACTTAAAAAATCTGTTCATTTTCTTCAATGATTCTGTCATTGTCCATTTGCAAAAATATGTTTCAAGTGACAACCCAAGTCTCAGTTAAAAGCTGCTGGTTTCCTTATTCTTCTTTTCTTTTTGTGATAATTTGTGATAATTCTCTTCTGGAATTATCACAAATGTATTTATTTTTACTGCTCAGTAATTGATCATAATAGCCTTATTCTAGATTATTTTAAGTCTAAAGTCTGGGTTGCACGAAGTTGGAGGACAATTATTTCAAGAGCAATATGAAAAACACATTTAAATTATGTTTTTTTGTTTTGTTTTTTTAAATCAAACTTTTATTAAACCATATTGTAGTTGTTTAGCCTAAAAGATTTTTTGCACATTTATTTTCGGACTCCCTAAATTATATAAGACAAATACACTGAAGGTTTGTGTATTAAACATGTTTGAATGAAACAAAAGTCTGTGTATGTTTTCAGTGTGGAAACAACATTATAACATAAAATAAATCAGTATGAATAAACCTGATTACTAATATTCTGTCCCTGTCCCGTTTGCAGTCTCCTGTGAAAAACGGAAACCCGTCGCTGCTCTCCTCCTCTTCCTCCTCGTCATCCTCCGTCTCGGGTCTTACCTCTTCCTCGTTCGTCTCCATGGCGACCATCTCAGGGGGCGTGGCCAACAGCAGCAGCGTCAGCGTCATCAATAACAGCCTCAGTAACAGCAGCCACTCCCCCTCAGTCCACCTCTCCAACAACACCTCAGCGGGCAGCTACAGCAACGCCACGCAGCAACCGCCGCACCCTTTGACACAACCGCAAAGTATCCTGCCCAAAAATTCAAACTCCACTGCCTCTGCGCCAAGCACCAACAACCACCCAGCGTCTTCGGGGCCGTCCCCACCCAACGCTAGCATTCAGGGTCCAATCACGCCCTCGTCCCAGCCTCCCATAGGGTCGACTTCCAATAGTTTAGGGTTGAATTTGGGGCTGTCTCTCAGTAAAGCGCCCGGTTCCATAGCGACTAGCCCAATGTCCAGCAGTCTTGGTTTATCAGGGATGCCGGCGTCCCTTAGTTCGTTATCAGGCTTATTATCAAGTTCAACCCCGACTCCGTACGCCCAAGCTGCAGCGATAGGAACTACTTCTGGTCTTCCTGGGTCGCTAGGCGGAGTTAGCACATCTTTAAGTTCAGTTACAGTAGGCGGTCCCACGTCCAGTTCGGTGGTAGGGGGCGCTATCGGGGCAGGGATTTTGGGTTTGGGGTCTTCAGGTTCCTCCGCGGTGCAGGGGTCTTCGTTGCTCTCTCAAAGCCCAGGAGGGAATCTGGCGCCGGGCAGCGGAGTGGGCGTCATCGGGAGCAACGGAGCCAGCTCAGGGTCCAACAGCACAGGGAGCAACGCACTGTCCATCAGGCCGCCCAGCCAGCAGAAGCAGAACGGGAGCTCCAGTGAGTAGCAAAGAGCACGGGGAGTAACACTTTATAATAGCTTTAATAGCTGCACTAATTTAGTCATAATAAATCAAGAACAAAGACTTCTACAATGAACAAAGTAGTAATAATGTTAGTAACAAAGTAGTAACATTAACCCCTGAAATTAAGTATCACTAAGCCTGAATCATTCTTAAAGGGACAGTTCAGAATTTTAGACATAGGGCTTCATTTCCTAGTGAGCCAGAGTGTTGGAGACGTGTGGAGACACTTTTTTAAATATTCCATCCAGTCCTTGTATTTGCAGAGCTCACTGGTGCTAGGCTAGTGCATGTCAATGGCCATAGTTATCCTGCCACTAAAAACAGTCTTACCCACTCCACAAAACACCTGAAGCAAATCTATTATTACACCAGACTATTGATTTTAATGTATGTGTGGATAGAATAATTTTAGAAGTAAAACCAACCAATTTGAAGGATTTATGTCTGAGCAGCAGCGAGTTGTACTTCTTGATAGAAAGCTTGGCAGCGGCGGACTGATATATGAGAAAATAGTCCTTCAATGTGCGACAATTCATGTGATGCAAGGTTAGTTTTATTTCAAACATTATTCTAACAACACAGACATTTACATTCTACAGTCTAGTGTAATAATAGTTTAGCTTTGGGTGTTTTGTGGAGTGGGTAAGAGTGTTTTTAGTGGCAGGCTAACTATGGCCATTGACATGCTCTAGCCTAGCACCAGCGACCTCTGCACATACAAGGACTGGATGCAATATTTTAAAAAGTGTCTCCATACGTTTCCAACACTCTTGCTCACTAGGAAATGAGGCCCTATGTCCAAAATTCCAAACTGTCCCTTTAATAAACAATGTGTCCTTTATGAATTATGTCTTTGTTCATTCTTTATAAGACTGTAAATAGTGTAGTTATAGTAAAGCGTTAAGGCTAAATGTTTCAGAAAATTACATGTTTTTACTATTCAAATTTTCAAGCAAGTGGGTTAAGTAAAATTTTGTATGGTTTTAATTATTAATGGCAACAATTTAAGTAGTGGGTTATAAAAGAAACAATTAACCATCTCAGCAAGACCTGTTATTATTAAAATTCCCTCTAATTTATAATGTGCGCTAAGAACTTTTTAGATGTCTGGTGCACAACCAGCTTTAGCTTTCCATGGAGATGGTATTGGTTTGCCTGGAATATTCCACAGTATGGCTTTAAAATTATCTATCTCCATCGAGACAAGGAGGTAGGGCTTACTTGTCAGATCTGTGGAGAGTAAGAATGTATGTTGTTCAAGGTGTTTTTGAGCACTGAAAAAAAAAAAACTAAATATGTTAAGTATCATGCTGTTGAACATTCCAGGCAAAGTCTCCATTGATACAAGCAAGTAGACAACCCCTCACCAAAAAGTTACATAGTGCACCTTTAAACGTGCTTGAATATGTTAATCAAGCTCTGTACATTTGCATTGCTCTTTCACACTGTTTAACTTATAACGGTGTACATGTGTGATTCACTTGGAGGAGGAGCAATTCAATCAGCTGTCACAAAATAACAGAAAAAAACTGGCATACTGATGGAAATAAGTGTGAACGTGAAGTTTTTAAAAACATGGTTCACCTCCAGATGTCAAGGTTTGAGAAAAAAAAAGTTCTCACCCTTAAAACAAAAGCTAAAATGTCAGTTAAGCATAATATAAGACCCTTAATTACTTGTCTTTGTAAACCTACACAGTTCCCAACCCGCTCTGAATAATGATAATGATCTTAATCATCTTTACCTCCACAGTTACACTCCCAAAGCTCTTTAAGTGCCTTTGTTATCGCACAGGAATCTCAGAACAGAGCCACGCACAGCCAGCAAATAATTCATTAGCGACACGTTATCAAGAGAAAAGCAGGCCCTGTTTCCGCTCCAGACAGACTGCGCATCACACTTAGAGCTCACTAATAGTTAATCACATCAGCTAAACCATACAGCAAGTACAGAAGGCCTGGGAGCTCTTTATTCTTGAAGCCAGGCTGTAACAGAGTGGATTACACAGAGGATGTATGGAAAGTTATTTAAAGATGCGCTACGTAAATGTTTTGGTAGAGGCTCCGTCACCTCTTTGACTCCGTGTACATGTTATTGTTTTTCCTGGAATGCGTTACAGTATGACATTTCTTTTAACTACGTTCATGGAGAAAAGCAGGCCAAGTCGCAGGTCAGATCTGTGGAGAAGTTGGCCCGCTCTCTCTCTCTTTGGGGTAGTTTTTGAGAAATAAATGCCCCTGTAAATGAATAAATAGAGATAAAGAAACAATGACATCACCATGAAACAAGCAGATGGCTGATCCTCCACCAGAAGAGTTACAAAATGTACAACTTTGAAAACAACATTTGCCATACGGGATTAGTTTTAGAGCTGCACGATTTTCAGTTTTTCAATTGTATTTAGATTTTTGATGAAAAAGCAGGATTCTAGGTGCATTAACATTTGAGAAACAGTCAGAAATGCGAACTGAGATAAACTAATACAACAGTACCCATGGAGTTTCTGTATAAAAACAGGATATTTTGTTCTTTGCAGATGGCATTCTAATATGAAAATAATTACAGTGCCATTTGATAATTGTGCAAACTCTAATTGCGTTTGATTGCGTTATACTCTGATGTTCTAATTAGTTTATTGGTAGATTAAAATTGTATTATTAGGATTAGAAGGATGTGAAGAATCAGAAAAAAAGCCAAAATTGCGTTGTACTGTGTAATTACAATGTGCACAAAGATGATTCCTGTGTAAAATGTCTAGAATTTTCATCCAAATTAAAGCTTTATTATTGTTTTGTTTCACCAGGTTACAGTGCTGTGGTGGCCGACAGCACAACAGACTCCGCCCTCAACAGTGCCAGCCAATCACAGAACAGCCAATCCTCATCTCTCTCCTCTACAGCCAATCAGCCGTGAGTGAAATCAGATTAGTCAGATTTTGTTTTTGTTTGTTTAAAGATGTGTTCACGCTTATGCTGGTTTGGTCCATATTGTAGCCTATTTTAGTCCTGGTGTAGATTTGGTTTGGTCCTGTCTTAGTCCTGTCTTAGTCCTGTCTTAGTCCTGTCTTAGTCCTGGTTTAGCCCTGGTTTAGTTCTGGCCTAGTCCTGGCCTAGTCCAGATTTAGTTCTCGGTTAGTTAAGTCCCAATTTAGATTTTTGTTGTGTGAACATATCTTTATCTATGTTATTTGGGACCTGCTAGTCTGGTAGTTTACTCCTAATTAATATTTCAATCCCCTCTTAAATGTAATAGCTCATGAATGTGTTAAAAATAAGCACTTTGAACTCATTGTACATTTTAAACATAAATCACAAATCTAACTTTTATCTTATAATCGTAATTCTTGATCATGTTTGTATTATGACAGATTTTCATTTATTTTTTACGTCTTTTGTATCTGTCTCCTCAGTAAAGACAGTGGCCCCAGTCTTCTGGCGTCCATGAGTTTCTCGTCCAGCTCGCCGTCGCCCGCCTCCTTCAGTGAAGCCAAAACAGGAAGTGGGTCTCTGCTGAATGGACCAATGTCGTACTCTCAGCCCGGAGACAGCATCAAGGTCAGAGGTCACACACCGTCAGGGACAGACATGTTTATTTAAAATATTTACACGTAACCGGTATTTGAGCTTTCTGTCATCTTTATATAAGGTTTGTAAGTGCAGCACTCCGAATTGAGTTCTATAAATTAATCTATTTGAATCTGATTGGTCTTATTGTGAAGTGTCACAACAGCAGAACAATCCGCAAAATCAAACTTTTGTTACATTCAGAGAAAATCGCAGCCATCTTTCTGGTTTGCAAACACACAAAGCACTTCCCTTTGCACATTTTCGAAACCAAAATTCCATTCTCTAAGATCATTTCCAACTAGGTATCCAGACCCAACCTAGCCCAAGATCTGGAGATGGGTCCCCGGGTGCTGCATTTAGTCACCCACTGCTCCTGACAGGGTGCCACAGCAGTATTGAAGCATGGGTCAAATGCAGAGGACAAATTTCCCGAACATACCTCATATTTTGCGAAGTGCATCAGAGAGTCCATAAAAACAGGGCCCAGTGCCAGCTTGCCTGCGTTTTGTAATCTGTTAGTGATGTTTTTGTGTTTGTTTGTGCCCCAGGAGCCTCTGAGCAGCCTGAAGTCGATGGCCGAACGCGCCGCACACAGCTCAGGGTTAGAGGGGGACGTGTCCTCACTGCACCTGCCCACAGGTACAAAGCACGAACACTCAGGTTTGACCATATAAGGGCACGAGAGGAACACAGCAAATGACATTATATAAGTAGTAGTAGTAATAGGATACAGATAATAAAGTGTATAGTCATTTAAGGCTATGTCTTCTTCTTCTTCTATTGAGTAGAAAAATAAAATGCTGAATTGGATAGTAGTGGATGTAACCATTGTGATGCAGGTAATAAAAAAATACATTTGAAAAAAAAAAGAAAGAGTTAGTAAATATTGATTATTTTTAAAACAAAATGTTCAGTTCAGTAGGCCTAAAATGGAGGTAGAGAAATGAGAGTTTTGTGGTCTCTAGTGTGTAAGTACACTGGTCTATGAATGTGAGGGAATGGGTGAGTGCTTCCTTGATGCAAAGAGCTTTGAGTGATTTGAAGGTGGAAAAGCTCTGTATAAAAATGTCACCGTTTACCATCTCATTTAATCTGGTTAAATCATGTCCCTATTATATATTTCTTATGATTATAGTTGTAGAATTGGCATTGAAGTATGACTAATAAGATTAAAATCACTGAAACAGCAGTTGTTTATACAGTAATAATATATTTGGTACAACTTTTGGTACCAACTTTTAAGGTAGTTTAAAAAAAAAAAAAAAGGATTGTGGTTTAATAATAATAATAATGATGCTTGTGAACCCAGGCCTGTGGTGTTAACTGTGGCTGTCCACTCTCTCCACAGACATGTTCCCCAGCTCCACGGCCCCCTCCGGCCCCCCCTCGGCCCCTCAGCCCTCTCTGTCAGAGGTGAACATCCCGCCCTCTCTGGGGGTCTGTCCTCTGGGCCCCGTTCCTCTGTCCAAAGACCAGGTTTACCAGCAGGCCATGGAGGAGGCTGCCTGGACGCACATGCCCCACCCGTCTGACTCTGAGAGAATCAGGTTTTAGCTATTTTACCATTTTACATCGTGTTAAAGCCGCTGTGGCTGATTTTACTGTCTAAAAAAACACAAAAAACTGAAAGAGTTGATTTTAAACGGTTTGCAATAGTCCAAAGTTATTCCTCATTTATTTTATGCATTCCAACCATCCTAATTATTCCTTGCAGTGAGTTTAGAAGCATAACTTTCAGAGAGAGTTTTCAACAACTAGTATGGCAACTTCCTGCACTCTACTTCCTGATTATCGGAGAATAAGCACATGAATCATTAATCAGCCAATGTTCTCTGTGAATTCTGAAGGCTCTGAGCTTTCACGTTTGGCATGGTCTGTCCATATCTTGAGAAAAACTTGTATCTTGTAACTTGTAGCCCTCTATATGCAGGTTCAGTTGCATAGGGCAGGCCACATACCCTCCCTTTAATAGATTGTCATTTACTACTTTATCCCAGGCTAGTTTTTAATGGATTCCCCGAAATCCCACACTCCCACATTTAGATGGAAACAGGCCTGCTAAAACACATTAAGTCAGATGGCGTGCACTTTTTTGGCCTTGTGGGTTGGGACTCTCCTTTAAAACCAACGTGAAACAATAGAAACTGTGCAACAAGAGGATTTAAGTGAGTGCCTTTAAATGTCAATGGTGTCTGTGTGGGCTGAAAGCAGAGCACCAGCAGGTCCACAGCGCTAATGCAGCTCTGTTTGTGTTCAGGTAAAAGCAGACTGAATACATCAATATTACATACAAGCATAATTACGTACCAGCGTCATTAGGAGTTGTTTTAATTAGGCCATGATTTTATATTCGCTACATTAAAGGTGTAATATGTAACTTTGGGGCACCTGCTTGTCACCATGGCGATCTCATTGTCCTCTGTGCCTGGAATGTTCCATTGTGTGGCACGAAACTATCTTGAAAAACATTTTTACATACCAGACTAATCATAGAATGTATAAAGAAGTGGACTAGGCGAGTGTGACATCACCCATAGCGTTCGGCTCCAATCAAATGAAGCACACGATGCTCACGGTTACAGGAGTGCACTTGGACCCAGGCTTTATATTAGGAATAGTATTTTTTTTAACAGACAAAATAGCGGAAAAAAACAGGATTAATACGAACATTTTAAGACCAAAATGACAAGGCTCACAGCAGCAGTTACAGAGGAAAGGGCCACAATATTCCAACATAAGTCAATGGGATTCTGGGTAAGGAGCTGGAAGAGCCGCATTTGAACTTCCTGTTTAGAACATGGCGGCTAGCACGTTGGCTATGTCCATTTATAGATACAGTCTATGAGCCTAATACATACAAACCAGTGTTAGAAATACAGTGTAGCCCCAGGGTCTTAAAAGTCTTAAAAAGGTCTTAAATTGCATGTTCCTAAATTAAGGCCTTAAAAAGTCAAATTATGATGACCAAGTCTTACTTTTTTTTCACAAAGGTCTTAAATTTCATTACACATTTTTTTTGTATACTCAATCAGGCTACAGTCTAATGTTAAATGGAGGAAGGAAAAACAATGTGAAATCATGTAACCTGAATGAATATCTAATTAAAAGGTTTTTTTGTTATTTAAAGCAGTGAGTAATGGTCATTATTAGAATTGGATTTGGTGTTTTTCACCCGCAAAAACACCAGATCCAATATTGGTCTTAATTTGCATTTAAGTGGTCTTAAAAAGGTCTTAAAAAGTCTTAAATTTGGTAGTCAAACCTGGGGATACCCTGAATTAGGAGTTAATTGTTTTAATTAGCCCATGAAACAAAATATTATATGTTTTGAATGGGAATGGGAAAAAGTCTTGAATATATCGTATTTCTTCAGTTACCAATGTTTTTTATAGCTCAGACATACATTTTTATTTTGAGTTGCCTCTCCTCTCCACAGTTCCGACCAGTAACTTAGCCTAGTTACATCATGTAGTAGCATCACCTGCTTGTTTTCACGGAGACAGTTCATGTTGATCTTTTGCTGTGGACCATTTGTAAGCAAAGCCATCGCATCTTCCCCTAGAAAAGTTACACAGTGCACCTTTAAAATGGTGCAGTCAGTTAAGCCTTAAACACACTCACAGTGATAATCACAGATGGAGTTAATGCTGGTTCTGGTTCTGAGTCAGTTCATATTCAAAAGCAGTCCAATATTGTCAATTCAAATAGCATGTTTTTTTCACACAGAGTATAAACAGTAGCGCAGTTCATTGGTCCTATTGTCGTGTGATTGTGATTGTGATTGTTGGCAGCAGTTTTGGTGACTAACATCCAAATGCCTGATAGAAACAGAGCAGATAATGTGGGATTGTCTAAAAATACTCTGTTTGTGGAAAAGTGCATCTGGTGACTGAACTTTCCCACTTTGTTGGATCCATTTGGGATATCGATCTATTCAGGTCAATAACTTCACCGAATCTAGTGCAGTGTCCCCAAAAATCTCACCAAGCACAGCCTCCACTAGAACCAGTTGTAATTTGTCCCTTTTATACTCATTCGTGTTATACTTCTGACAGTATAGTTCTTTTTTGTGTTCTGGAAAGTGTTTAATGCATTAAGCACTCTGAATTACCATCTTTACCCAGTGCTCAAATATGAATTAAGAGTTAGAGTTAGTTACTAGTTACTGTGTCAAAATAAGACCAAAATAAGACCAAAACTAGAAAAGCACTCAGAGAGCGCAGACCTCCGCCAAAGACTACCCCCATTTTTTATATAAATTGCGATAAAATCAGTCTTCTGGATCAGATCCGGATCAGCCTTTGGAATATGAAAGAGGATCCCATTGTCCATCCCTGAGTCAAATTTCATGGGGTTTGGTCAATAATTAACCGAGATATTGAGAAACAAAATTATTGGCCCCATTTACCACAATGTTAACTAAAATTTCAAAGTGATCCAGAATCCAGGATTTCTTCCGGATCACCCCCAAAATGAAATCAGTTCTTCCTTTTCACATTTCCAACAAATCCTGAAAATTTCATCAAAATCGGTCCATAACTTTTTGAGTTATGTTGCTAACAGACAAACAAACAAACAAACAAACAGACAAACGCCAGCAAAAACATAACCTCCTTGGCAGAGGTAACAACACTAAATTTGGACTTAAAGGTCCTATACTATGCAAAACTGACTCTTGTGAGCTTTAAGTCATGGTAGTCTGTTGTTACTTCATCCAAAACAGACCTGAAGTTGTGTTTTGCTTGATTCACACATGTTTGAGTAACCCTTCATTGTTATGTTCTGTTTCTGTTGAATTCCCCTGTACTAATAGTTTCCTTGTGTGTGTGTTACAGACAGTACCTGATGAGGAACCCCTGTCCCACGCTGCCTTTCCACCACCAGGTGCCACCACCGCACTCAGACACTGTCGAGTTCTACCAGAGACTGTCCACGGAGACGCTCTTCTTCATCTTCTACTACCTGGAGGTCAGTGAAATGCTTTGCTTTGTCTCAATGGAGGTGTCGTATTTTGTTTCATTAATCATGTTTATGTCGTTTTTCATTGAGCATTGCAATTTTCCCTAGATTGTGAACAAAATAGAAAGTAAACCTGGACGTCTCATTTAGTTTTATAAATCCATAAACCATCATTGGATTTCTTCTGACCATTTCTGCGCCCAAATATTGTTCATAACAAAGAACTAAATAGCTCCTAAAAACTTTTTTGTTCATAGTTCATGCCTATTGCAGTCAGCAGAAGGAGCTCCAACTCGAATCACTTGGAAATAGAGGCGTCGCTTACTAAAGTCAGTGTTCTGAACACATGTTGAAAAGTTTCAGAAAGGCAAAAATAATGCGTGATCGGTCCGCTTTAATACAAACATTTTTATACCATCCTGAAATTATGTCCACCTTTTTCTCACACCAACCAAACTTCTCTCTGCACAGGGCACTAAGGCCCAGTATCTGGCAGCCAAAGCCCTGAAGAAGCAGTCGTGGAGGTTTCACACAAAGTACATGATGTGGTTCCAGAGACACGAGGAGCCTAAGACCATCACCGACGAATTTGAGCAGGTGAGACGAAACCAACAATCTACAAAACTGTTCAACCAGCACATTTTAAGGGGTTAGGCAATAGGCGATACGTAATTTAGTCTTAAAAAATATTACTTTCAAACAACATAACATAAACATAACATTCTTTCAACATAACTGAACTCTGCTCCTCCAAATCCCTTGGCAGAGGCCCAAGTGATTTGAAACAGTTGGATTTGTTTTCAATTAAAATGTGATTAATTGCCGCACTAGACTTTGTCTTTGTGCAAATAGACAAAGTGGTGTTAATGCATGCTGCTGTGTGAATGTGCATTTCTTTACAATATGTATTTCATATGAATTCACTTCACCAAAAAATTCATAATATTATAATTTTAGAATAATTTTCTTTTTTTGTTTTTGAAGGGACTACACCAACTTTATTTTCATGTAATACAGATACAGATATTGTATAAGCATTCAGTCATTTTTATTGTCTGTGAACCAGGAAATCATGCTTTTATTCTGTTAGCATGCTAGTAGAGAGCAGAAAACGTTTCATAGTTTTGAGCTGAAATTGTGTATGCTTCATTCCAGGGAACATACATTTACTTTGACTATGAGAAATGGGGCCAGAGGAAGAAGGAGGGATTCACGTTCGAGTATCGGTATCTGGAGGACAGGGACTTACAGTGACCCCGCCTCCTCAGCGGGACGGTCCCAGGGACACATGCACCCCCTCACCAGCAGGGGGCACACTCACAGAGAGAGGGGGGTCCGACCTGATTCCAGCCCACATTCCTCTGCTCTGCTCGGGACAGGCCTGGACGGGACAGGGGCAAACACGGACACTTTTTCCAGCCCTTCCCAAAAAGTCCTGCTGCTGTCCTCCTCACCAGGCACTACACGTCTCAACTGGATTTGTTTTAGCTTTCCCATCTCTGTCAGTTTGTTTGGCTTTAAAAATAATTTGTTTTTTTTACTTTTATTAACCCCCTTAAGAACCAAAGAAACTGGTTTAGTCCCATTTTTAGTGTGAAAAAGGCAGCTAGACTAGAAGCTTCTAACAACATCCCTCCCTTTGACTTGGCTGACTCAGACAGTGGCAGTTCTGCAGCGGTGGGGCAAGAAATGATGGTCAAATGTGACTTTTTCACAGAATTTTGAGGTTTATTATAAAATCATGTTTTTACTATTTTATAAAATCAAATTCAGAAAAGACAGTGATGTTTTAAACATTTTGTTGTAAAATATATAAAGGCCACTTTTTGCTTTTATTGTGAATTTTCAGTTTTTTCACTAACTTTGAAAACTATTAACACATAAACATAAGTCATTTTTCCATAAATTCTGCATCAGTCAGTTTATTCTAGTCACTCAAATCATTTTCAGGCAAAGATTTCATATACAAATGAAACATTTCTAGCTCATATTTGAGAATACTAATATTATTTAGTGTGATGAGAAACAAAAATCTTGTACAACAGCAGCAGTAGCAAATTATACACATTTACTGAAATGCAGATTTTATTAGTTTAACCAGGAAGATCCTTTCACTTCATACAAGGTGTGAAATGGATTGAAACTACTACTATTATGCCAACTCAAAAACATTAAATGTTTTTTTTCCTGTTATTACCCAATGGCATTAACCATGAAACTACACAACAACTCCCAAATTAGTTTCCTTAATGTAAGTATTGATCCATTAGGCAAACACCCCACAAGATTTCGAGTCATACTAGTAACCCCACTTCAATCAAAACTGTTAACACTAAAAAGTGAAGATAACATCACAGATATTCTTAAGTTCTTGCCCCTCTGCTGCCTCCATAGGGCTGTGGATCCTTGTCTCATCAGAGGACATAAACAGGTGAATGCAGTCCGTAGGTGTGCACTTTGCTCTGGTTCTTCTCTCACATGAAGAGGTCCTGCTGCCATTGTGGAGTGGATTTAAAAATACATCCACTGGCCCACTCGATCGCCCCGGGCCGGAGGAGTGAGAGAGAGCGCACGGGCGTCATGGTGATAGTCAGTACCTGGTGGGCAGGTGCACATCGCGGCTGCCTTTTAAGGACTTTTATATGAATGGAGAGATGACATAATGTATCCAGACTGAAATGATTATACAGGGAGCTAAACAAACAGTGGCAGCTTCTCTTAAAGGGACTATGGAACTTTTCTGGTGTTGGGTCTGCTACCTAGCATGATACATCAGCCGGTTTCACTTCGTAGAAACCGTCTGACCTCGCAGGTACTTTTTATCATTTAACCAATCGCAGCTATTTGGTAGTTACGTATGTACTGGTATATTAAGCTTTTCCCAAATCCTGTAGGAGGAAGAGCAATAACGTTCTCTTTATTCCGGCTTTAAATCCTCGATCTCGGGAGTCGTTGACAACACAGAATATATGGCTCTTCCCTGATTGGCTGGTGCCCAAACTCGCACTTCCGGGGTTTTTGCGAACCGACTCTAGTGTATTGTGATTCCTGACCTAGTTGCTGGAGAGAAATAAAATTGAGCGGAGGCACTAGGTGGCGCCACTCTGGCTATGTGCTACCTGCTTGTGTCCATGGAGATGTTTACTGCTTTGCCCTAAATGCTCCACAATATAATATTCAAATGTATCTTGAGCTGCATTTATTCACTTAGAGGTATTTGCAATGCTCAAAATATCCAAGTGGGGGCGCCTCACCTGAAACCTGACCTCAGAGTGTGCTTGTCTCCATGGAGATTGATTAGTATACATTTAATACCATACTATGGAACATTCACAGCAGAGAAGCGACATCGCTGTGGTGGCAGACTCTTATCAGAAAAGTTACAGTTGAAGTTAGTTGAAGTTGAGATAAAAAAAATATATATATATATATATATATATATATATATATATATATTGCAAAAACCACAAAGCAGCATTTTCTAAACGAACCACGATATTAGTAAATCTTCAGATGCAATAATTAAATGAAGTAATATTTGTAATGTTATATAAATATAGCCATTACTATGTTATAATTGAAAAAAGCTTATTTACAAAAAAGACATTGTTTCCCACTGGTTCAAAAAGTAATTATTGTGACAGGCCTTGTAGACTTTTTTCAACCATTTAATATTTATCTTATTTTTTAGTTTCAAATAGACGGAATTTGGTTTGGCCTTGGGATCAGAATATTTGCCAAACAAAAACACAGATTTGTACCTACATTATCAAACTTGTATTGTGTTTTGAAGACAATAGCTCTGCAGTCCTTCAAATGAAATTGTCAGTTCACTCGACTTCACACTTCACAAAGAAATATATTGTATCACCGTTTTTTTATTTACAACAAATTCTAACCGTGTTTTATTATCTTTTTTATTTGTATCTCGTTGGGAGGGCATCTGACGTTTAAAAAAAATTACAGCGTGACCTATAGGGTGATTTGCTGTGGTAACATATGTACGACAAAGGGAGCAAAGTTTTATAAGATTTTTAATTTTATACATTTTTAGGTTTTGTATTTTGGGTTTTTAAATTTACCGCAGCAAACCATCTGCCCTATTTAAACCAGATGCCCTCCCTTTTTCTACATTCATCCAGGCTATCGGCTTGATTTTTGATACCATGATGTAACATTCCTAATCCGTGAGTTTTCAAAGTGTTTTTACCTTAGCTAACTTTGTCCCCTGTTTAGTTTTTCAACTTTTAGCTTATGCATGAGTGTTGTGCTTTTAAATAATGGATACTTTAATGTGGTTGGACAAAGTGAGATTGGCAGTGGAGTTCTTGTTGTACCTCGAGTGAACTGGCTTTTTCACATTGGAGCTGGTTAGGAAAAATATTGACGAAAATGGCTCAATATATTTTTATCTAACGGTAATTATTATTATATTTTTACAATCAGGAATGTGCCTATAATTACTCCCATAAAGTGTGAATTCACTGACAAATTTTAACATAAGAGAGCAGTAATATATTTGAATGCACTTGATTGAAAGATTACACTGCAAGTAGCCATGGACAATTAAAAAATAAATAAATAAAAGTCTCATTAAAGGTCCATATTATGCTATTTTCTGATCTATGTTATAATGTTGTTTCCTCGTCAAAAACGTACTCGGAGTTTTGTTTTGTTTCATTCAAACAGAAAACACTGTTCCACCTTGTGATGTCATGTGGTAATACAGGAAGTTCTCCATTGTGTTTTTAAACTCCATGCACTTTCACTTGAATCATTTGGATAATTTCAGTTCTGGAATTGTCAATCTCTGCTGAACTAAAGGTACAACATACTAACTGTTAACTTGAAAATGACCACTTCATGACCTCACAAGGTGGAGTACTTTGAGCTTTTAATAATGTGAATGTGTGAATGAAACCAAACACAACTTGCTTATGTTTTTGAGGAGTTAACAACATTCTAATGTGACTTAAAGCTCATGAGAGTCAAGTTTGCGTAATATAGGACCTTTAAAGTCGCACTATGTAACTTTGATGTTTAGGGATCTGTAGATCTAACCCGATTCATCAGTTGGTTTCACTTCGTAGAAACCGTCTGACCTCGCAGCGTTAGAATTTGTTCGCTCGATGGTAGGCGGGTACTTTTAATCATTTAAACAATCACTGATATTTGGTCATGACGAATGCAATGGTATATTTAAGCTTTTCCCAAATCCCGTAGGAAGAAGGGCAATAACGTCTTTCCCCTTTGATAAAATTCACCAAACATTCTCTTTGTTCCGCCTTTAAATCCTCGATCTCATGAATCGTTGCCAACACAGAATATATGTATATATATATCTTCGTTGATTGGCTGGTGCCCAAACTCGCACTTCTGAGGTTCTTGCAAACCGTCTAGTGTATTTTGATTCCTGACCTAGTCGCTGGAGAGAAATGAAATTGAGCGGAGGCACTAGGTGACACCAGCCTGGCTACCATAGATCTGGTGTTCATAGGCATGTTATTGTTAGAATATTCCACAGTATGGCATTAAACTGATTTGAAACATTGCTTCTCCACCAATATTGATTCATGTCTTGGCCTAGTGGTGTCAGGTGTCCATAGATACAGACACATTTAAAGCCATATTGTGGAAAATTACTGGCAAAGCAATGACATCTCCATGGAGACAGGGAAGAGGCAGACTCTAACAGAAAAGTTACATAGTGCACCTTTAAATTATATCAGACAAAGGACAAAGAACTAGACAGTTTCTTTCCAAATTGCTCACCAAAGTGCAGTTTGGTTAAAAAAATATATACAGTCAAAGTTGGCCTTATTTCAGCTTTATTAGATTAATATATGTATAGGTTTTGTAAATAATAAACAAAATACCTGATATTGTAATTCAGCATATCTTTAAAACAACATTCACAATACTATCAGCAATTTTTATTTAAGTTTTTGCAGGTTTTGGCACTTTCTGATATCCTAATTGGTATAACAAACTAACAAATATATGCCCATCTATAGTCAACAGCTGGATACATTATGTCTTCTCCTCTCTTGTTTCTCCTCCTCTGAGCTCTAGAATCATCCACGCTCACCCCAAGCCCACACAAAAAACACTGTCCACTGTCTGAGTTTCGCTTCGATCACCCTGCCGACCCCAGGATCCTCAGAAGTCACACAAGTGTCTCAAACTGGTCTGCAACGCTACAATATTTAACTCCTATCCATGTGTGTTACAATGATAAAACAGCATCGTTGCCATAGTAATTAACGATTTAAAACAACAATATATCCTTTGAATACATGCATCAAGAATTTCGGACTTCTGGTCATTGCGATTGGGATGGATTGTCCAAAAAAGTGAGCATCAAACCACCATGTTTTTTTTCCCTGTGGGATGCTTCTATTGTCAAAGCTGATCTTTTCTAGTCTTTTGAACCATATCGTTTTTGTTTCTGGTTCTGATATTGTCATATTTTAGTTTTGGGATTTGGACATCATAATTATGTGGTTGATGGATGTCCTAACAGCGGAAAACTGCTTGATAAATGGGCTTCAGAAGTTTGCGAAATCCATAACTGCAAAAGGGAATCAGATGTGTGTGACTGCAAACCTCCGTTCAAACTGTTTACCTTTCCTAACGGAATTGAAAAATAGTGAAAGGCAAAGGCAATGGGCAGGATTGATACACAGGAAGGACGAAAAAGGAAACCTTTGGCTGCCTAAGCAACCATCCCGGGTTTGCAGCGAACATTTTGTATGTGGAGCGCCATCAAAGTGGGATCCTGTTTGTTAAGCGAGAGGTACAGAAGACAAACAGGCTGAGCTGCACTTTCTTGTTC